AGCTCGGGGCTCTGCCACGGGAGATACTTCTGCTGACGTCACTGGAGCTGGGAGTGGTGCTGGTCCCGGAGGTGCTCGTACTGGAGGTACTGGAGCTGCTGGGGCTGGAGGTGCTGAGCCTGAGGGTGCTACTGCTGGAGACCCTGGGTCTGGGGGTGCTGCTGCTGGAGACACTGAGGCTGGAGACCCTAGGACTGGAGGTGCCGGTTCTGGGGGTGCTACTGCTGGTGGAGCTGGTCCTGGAGGAGCTGGCGCTGAGGGTTCTGGAGCTGCTGGAGGTGCTGGAGCTGCTGGCGGTGCTGGAGCTGCTGGTGCTGGTGGCACTGCACAGCCGCGCCTATTCTTTGCTCCGCCGTCTCCGTCGTCTCAGCCACCGTCTGACTCTGTGCTTCGCCAGGTTCTTAGTCTCCCTTCGTCTACTGGTCTTCCATTACAGCCTGGCTCACCGCTGCCTGCTCCTTCTCCTTACACTGAGCAGACAGGGGGCCTTACTGAGCGTCGTGAGCCTGCTTCGCGTCCTGTCTCGCTTGTCCGTTCTGGTCGTCCCAGTCGTCGTGTTCCTCGTTCGCGTCACCTGGCTGTCCCCGGCACCCACCTCGTAGTCCGTCGTCCTTCCTCTCCTCCGCAGCGTGTTCCCCTGCCGTCCCCTCCTGCGTCTTCTCTGCCTACCGTTCCTGAGCCTGAGTCTGACTGCACCCGTGCTGCTCACCCTACTTTCACGCGTCTGCTAGCCACAGTTGTCACTGACCCGTCGTTTGAGTCTGCTACTGCGTCTGCCTTAGTCGCTGAGCTTGTTGACTTTGCTGCTGCCTGTCGTCTAGACTATGCCGCTAGTCTTGTTGCTGAGTCTGAGTCTGTCTGTCTTCCGTCCGTCGGGGGTAAGTGTGCTCTTGGCACGGACGTTCTTGAGGACAGGCACGAGGACCTTGAGTGTCTTGCAGCCGCTGCGCCTCATCTCGTGTCCATGCTACTTGCCTCTGAGGGAGACCCGGATGCTCCAGACATCCCGACCTTGCGCTCTTACACTGAGGCGATCGCGGGTGAGTACTCCTCTCAGTGGCAGACAGCCATGGACGCAGAGATGGCATCCTGGAAGTCCACAGGCACTTACGTCGACGAGGTTCCCCCTCCTGGGGCGAACATCGTCAGTGGCATGTGGATTTTCAGGGTGAAGCGGCCGCCAGGTTCTCCGCCTGTTGTCAAGGCTCGTTACGTTGCTCGAGGTTTCAGTCAGCGAGAGGGAGTTGACTTCTTCCAGACCTTCTCCCCCACCCCGAAGATGACCACTCTTCGGGTACTGCTGCACGTTGCCGCTCAGCGTGACTACGAGCTTCACTCTCTTGACTTCAGCACAACTTTCTTACAGGGCAGTCTGCACGAGGAGATCTGGCTGCGCCGCCCTCCTGGCTTCACTGTGTCGTTCCCTCCTGGTACCCAGTGGAGCCTCCGGCAGCCTGTCTACGGTATCCGCCAGGCGCCACGTGAGTGGCATGACACACTGAGGACGACACTTGCTGCTCTTGGTTTTGCTCCGTCGACTGCTGACCCGTCACTGTTTCTGCGCACCGACACTTCGCTGCCGCCGTTCTACATCCTCGTGTACGTCGACGACTTGGTTTTTGCCACTGCTGACACTGAGGCTCTCGCCCTGGTGAAGTCGGAGCTGTAGAAGAGACACACGTGCACAGACCTGGGTGAGCTGCGCAGTTACCTTGGCTTGCAGATCACCCGGGACAGAGCACGCCGCACCATCACACTGACTCAGTCACACATGGTGCAGCAGGTCCTTCAGCGCTTCGGCTTCACCTGGTCCTCGGCACAGGCCACTCCTCTGGCTAAAGGTCACTCGCTCTCAGCTCCACCTTCGGACGAGTCCGTAGAGCCGAGTGGTCCTTACCTAGAGCTAGTGGGCTGCCTCATGTACCTGATGACCTTCACTCGTCCTGACCTTGCATACCCTCTTGGCCTTCTGGCTCGCTACGTGGCTCCTGGTCGGCACCGAAAGGTGCACATGGATGCTGCTAAGAGGGTACTGCGCTACTTGTGCAGTACATCGGGCATAGGGCTCGTGCTTGGAGGGCGGAGCCCAGTTGTCCTCACTGGGCACTCGGACGCTTCTTGGGTTGACGACCTGGCTACGCAGCGGTCGTCACACGGTTACACCTTCAGCCTTGGCTCTGGTTCAGTTTCTTGGCGGTCTACACACTCGTCCTCTGTTCTCGGCTCTAGTTGTGAGGCTGAGATCTACGCCACAGCCATGGCTGCACAGGAGCTACGCTGGCTCACCTACCTACTGACCGACCTTGGAGAGCGTCCTCGTTCTCCTCCAGTGTTGTACGTAGACAACAAGGCCGCCATTGCCTTGTGTCAGGAGCACAGACTGGAGCACAGAACGAAGCACATCGCTCTGCGTTACTTCCTCACTCGAGAGTTGCAGCAGCGTGGTCAGCTTCGTCTTGCTCACGTGGCCACTCGGGCCAACACTGCTGATATATTCACCAAGGCACTTCCGTCTGGTGATCATCAGCGTTTTTGTACTTTGTTAGGCCTTGTGCCCACGTTTCCTCACTTGCTGTAGACTTTGCTTGTACTGTGATCTATATATATACCTGCATGCTTGCTCTGCTAGGTAGAGATCACTGTGCTGTTGTTGTTGCATATATACCTCTGCATGTGAACTGGCCTTGTGGCCCTTTGCTTGTGCTCAGTGTGTGTGGTGACGTTGTGATCCACCCTGAGCTTGCTTTGCTTCTCTTGACTGGTCTTGTGACCCCTTGTTCTCCCCCACTTTGCCTATGGGGGTGTGTCAAAGTATATGCATGCTATATATGTGTAGGCTGTAGTGGGGTAGCCAATATGGTGTACAGCCCCGTTTAGGGTTTCATACTTGTACCCTACTCTTCCATAGTGCATTTATTCCTGCTAGATTCTAACAACCCATAGGCACAGCTTCTCACCTGAGGCTGCGGATGCGATCATGACAGTGAGCCTCTAATTCTTGAAGCCTGTCGTGTGGATCGGGACAGACTGCGCACATGTGCGGTCTATGGTCCTCTCTGCCGGCATCTCCACGAACAACAGTCTGATGCGCGAGAGGTCGATGTTGAGGCATGCACGGTTGATGCGTGCAAATTTCCAGAACGTCCCGAACACACTCTGCCAATGCAACATACCAGGGCGTAAGCACAGGCAGAAATAGAGAGAAGCAATGAAGGATGTAAACACATACGGGAAGAATTCACCGAGGTAAACGCAAGAGCAAGGGTGTGGCGGTGGCTTTGAGACTCATAAGAGACAAGGCAACAAGCCCAACATTCACTCACGGCTCCACCGCTGCGTCTCCTTCATCGAGATCGGCACCCACTTGGCGCTTTGTATGCAGATGTGGCGATACAACGCTTCCTTCATATCGGGGTGGTCTGAGTGCCGGCCAGCTCAATGTAGGCGCATCCGACAGTTCACACTCCAGAGTCTACATGCCCCACCTTGTGGCAAATGCTGGCAATGGAGGCATTGAAGCGACTCGTTACGAGTCATGGCTAGGTGGATGTTGTCTCTAGGGAAGTCGATTCGGCCATAGCTTGTGAGGTGCAAGTTGGGACGAGGGGACAAAGAGGTGGGACCTGTCTTCCTGCGCTTGATTCAGCCAGCCGTGAGTTGAAGTTGAGGAAACACTCAACTCCATGAGCTCATAATGACACTCCAAGCCAAATATCTCCAACCCAGTTGTTAGGCTACAGTGAGGCGCACTGTAAAGAGTACAATTCTTTTACGGTAGGGTTGACTACTTGTATCTCATCTTGCTTACTTCAACCCATTCTCCTATGCCATTCTGACAAAGAGCACAACTTTTCCAGCCTACGTTCGTGTACCAAGGCTGACGAATCAGCCGCCGCCAAAACGAACTCAAGGGCCTGATGTACGACTGACTTCTATACCAGTGCCTGTTGCTGCAACAAGTGACCTACAGTTGGTCACCAAAGTAAAGCATCCAAGACAGCAGTTGCTACCCGTCTAGCTCCACCCGGCCCACCCATTCGTATCCTGCCGTTAGCTGCAATCTCCTGGAGAAGCGCTGTATCTGCCATTGTCGCTGCAGCAGCTGCCCCCAGTTCTTCAGGAGAATTTGATAAGATAATCTGCGTAGGAAGAACGTTGGTCAATGGCACAACAATAATTGATTCACTGGCACTAGCATGTATGGGAAGTGTACTTGGGGAAAAAAGGTCTTCATACAATGTGTTATGAATGGGAATGAACGATGAAGAGAGGCGCTGAAGGAGAAGAAGGCAGAGCAATGGACAATCACGAGGACAGGTGGAGGCCCGCAGGGTGCAAAGCCATTAAGAGTGCTCACAGATTTCCCCAGCAGGCGGGTCTGAGCCTCGGCAAAAACTGGCGTGAACTGAGGGCCCTTGCCTGGCATGATGAACACCGGCTTGCCCAGCCCCACCTGGGCACGGGGGACGAAGAAAGGGGGGGGGTGGGGGGGGAGGCAGGCAGGTAGGCAGGCAGGCGGGCACGTTTGATGTGGGTTGCTGCACTGCCCCCACTGTCTGCCACAGCACCGCTCACTCCATAACAATCCAAGTGGGTCCCATTCCACTGGACTGACCATTGCCCCCCTGGCCATGCTTGACCATTGACCCCCTGGCCATGACTGACCTGACCATTGCCATGCCACCTGCTAAACCCACACCACAACTCCACCACTCTCCACCACTTTGCACTCACCATCTGATGCTATAGTTATATCAGCCACTGCCATAACACCATGTATCTCTGAGTGCACCCTGCAGATCATCCAGGTTCTACACCTCCCTCCACCACTCCCCACCGCACTCTACCCAACCATTCTTTTCCCCAAACTCACTTTCTGCTCCATGGCCGTGCCTGCCATGGCCAGGGCAACCACGCATTCTGCAAATCAGCATGGCTCCACACCTCTCTGCACCTCCCTCACCACTCTCCACCACTCTCCATTGCACACTACCATACCGTTATCTTCCCAATCTCACCATCTGCTCGGTGGCCGTGCCAGCCATGGCCAGGGCGCCATGAGCCTCATGAGCGCACTCTGCAAATCCCCCCCTCACCACCACCACCACCGCACGCACTCCCCCCGTGCTCCTCACACCACTGCTCGCTGCCCCACCGCTGCTCCCCCCTGCAGCAATACTGCCCCCTCCCTTCCCCTCCTCTTGCGCCCCTCCAAGAGCAACAACAGCCCGATTCTCTTCTCGCCACGCTCTGCTATTACCATGTGCCTCCTCGCCTTCCTCTCGCTCAGGTAGGATTAGCACACGCCCCTGCAGCAACCCCTCCCCGTCCAGCTCTGCCCACCCCGCCTCTGCCCCTCCTCCCGCCCCTTCTGACGTGGATCGGGAGGGGCTGAGCGGCAGCCAGCCTTGAGCAAGCAGGGTGGAGGCGAAGGGGGAGGGTTGGAGGGAGGGCACGATAGGGCAGATGAATAGGACTGGCAGGGGACTGCTGCTGCTGGCGTTGCTGCTGCTGCTGCTTTTGCTGTTGCTGCCAATGTCAGTGCTGATAGTGTTAGTGGTGGCATGGTTGCAGTCATTAGTGCTGCTGCTGCTGTTAACGGTGCTGCTGCTAGTGCCAGCGCTGGTGCCCCCGGAGCAGGAGAGCAGGGAGGAGACGAGGTGGGGGATGGAGGAGGTGAGGAGCTCCCAGTTGGAATACACCTGCGTGCATGCGAGAAGCGAGGGGTGCGGCTGCTGTCAACCAGTACCCAACGAACAACGAACGAATTGTGAAGCATATGGAGAGTTCATGTGACAGGCGCACATACGCTCATGGCAGATGTGGCAGAGGACATTGATGAAGGTAGAAGTGCGTGCATGGTTGCGAGAACAGGGTAGCGGTACACAGCTGCCCCGCCACCTGCCAAATAGACGATGCTCAGCAGGGAAGGCGAGGCGAGGGAAGCGGGATGGCCAGGTGTGGTGGGGACAGTAGGAGCGGCAGCTGACGTGGGGGAGGGTGCGGGGCAGGGAGAGCGAGGCTCACTTCAGGCGGTCTGGAGCCGGGCAGGATGGCCAACACGTGGCGGAACGGGCTGCTGCTGCTCTGGCACGCTGCATCGCCCGGGGGCGCCCCGTGTGGTGCCGTGGTATGAGCGCCCCCCTCGCTGTGCGCATCACGGGTGGTGCGGTGGTGCAGCCAAGCGCGGAGGTGGGTGTGGATGAAGGTGTGCAGGTGGGGCGATGGCGAGATGTGGTCCATCATGGGGTTGCCCAGGTACGCCACCTGCCATGCCATGCATGCACATGCCATGGGGTACACATGGTGTGGTGCGAGGCATGGGATACATGAGCAATCACAGGGTTACTCAGAAATGTCATTATGATAATATGCATGACGTGCATATATCCATATGCCATGGGCCGTACACATGGTGGGTGTGCATAGCGGGTACGCATGGCGAGTGCGCATGGTGGGTGGTGGGTGCGCATGGTGAGTAAACATGGAGGGTGCAATGCAATGAAAGGCATGGAACATTAGTTCTTCATGGGGGTACTCAGCTTGCCGCCCACCATGCCATGGATGTGTGCCATGGGGTGCACGTGGTATGGAGGCCCTGCCTGACGCACGATGACCCGTGTTGAGTCGCCCCACTCTGGCTCTGGTTTCCATTTAGCTCTGGGCAGCTGAGTAACTCGGTGTGGCTCGTTTGACTCTAGTTGACCATTCTTCTTCATTCACCTTGACCTGGAAGGGCACTTACTGACTCGCCTTGACTTGCCTTGACTCATCTGGAGTTGCCTTGGATTCTGTTGGACAATTCTGGCGTCCTCTGGACTCACCTTGCCCCGTCTGAACAGCCCTGCCTCGCTGCCATCCTGCACCGTGCCAGGGGAGGACGAGGAGGAAGCAGAGGGGGAAGCTTCCTCCAAGGGCATGTTCTGGGCGAGCACCTGAGCAGTGAGGCGGTCCCTCACTGCCGCCAGCCTGGCAGGGGAGAGGCGCACGGTGGGGGATGGGGTTGGGGGGTGGTGAAGGAACACGGATGCACGGCCGTAGGATGCATCCTGGTTTCGCACTTGAACAGTAAGGCGGACTGGGTGGGAGAGGCGGAGAGGGAGAGGGGTGGATGGAGGGGTGAGGATCAGGAGATGAAGTCTCACCTGCAGCATGCATGCGCCATGAGCCATCGCTCCCACGGGTGGTACACTCCCCCTCCGTGCCACCACCTCTCCACTGCCAGTGGCATGGCATGGCATGGCATGGCAGCACGAGCAGCAGGAGAATGCACAGGGACAGTGGTGTGAGGGAAGGCGGTGGGGTGAGGGAGGAGGGAGGGGACGAGGAAGGGGAGAGTGGAAGGGAGGGTGGAACGTTCAATGTCCAGTTCAGATCCTCGCCAGGTCCCCAACATGCCACATTGCCCTGCTGCCCTCTCTGCACTCTCACTGTACCTTGCCATACTAGCAAGTCACATTCGAGTGGTGAATCGGGGCTGCTTGCGTCACATCACCACAGTGACATGGCAGAGCATGTCTTGTCACCAGACCAACCGCAGTCCTCCTCATATGTCATATGTACCAGCCAGCGCATGGAGGGATGCCTACCCTTCTACTCACCCAAACACTTGCCCCACTGCCACTCCGCCTTCCCACTCGCCTAGCGCCCCCTCACACATGAACCCGCCTCTAGGCCGTCCCTGGCATGCCAATCAGCGTGAGTAGTGCCTACTGCCATGCTCACCGAATGTTGTGGCCTGCGAGGGCAGCAGGCGGGCGTCGTCCGCGCGGATGTAGAACTCGCTCTTGGCCGTGCCCATGAAGGCAAAGGGCAGTGCCGCTGCCCGTGATGCTGCTGGGGCAGTGCTGGGCGCAGCAGTGGCAGGGAGCGTGGTGGAGTGGTGGGAGGCGAGGCAGGCGAGGGCGAGCGGGAAGACGTCACCCACGGCCACGATGGCGCCTGTCGTGCTGCTCTGCGCCTCCACCCACCGCTTCATTGCCTGCCACTGCAAGGGTTGGATGCGGTGCGGTGGGAAGCAGTGAGGAGTGGTGACAAGTGGTAGGACGCTGTGAGTGAAGGGAGGTGGGGAACGAGAACGGGAAGGTGTGGGGAGAGGCACAAAGTAAGAATCACAAGGGAGAGAGGGCACATGGTGGAACAGAGCCCGCTATGGCGCCGGTTGCACGCACGCACGTACATACCTGCTGCAGCGTGAGGTCCAGCAGACCCGCTGCCACGTCATTTGCAAGCTGCTTTCCGTCCATGTAGATGAACCTGCATGGCACGGCACACACACGCCATGGCGTGAAGTATGTGGTTGAGTCCATGCATTAGAGCGAGACAGCGATCCAACAAGGCACAGCATTCTTTTGTTCCTAGTTCCCAGGTACCCCCCTCGTTTCTCTTCCACTGTACTGCTCTTCAACTGTGGCAGCATTGCTTGTGCGGGGCTTGGTCGTGGCATGGCATGCGCATGGCATTGTGAATCATGGTGTGTGAGAACCTTGCATGATGGCATGTGTGTACGAGGATGAAGGTGTGCATAACGAGGCACGAGGCACGCCACAGCATGGGTGAAAAGTTAGCAGCAGCAGCAGCAGCAGCGGAGGCGGTGGCGGCGGCGGCAGCAGCAGCAGCAGCAGCGGCTCACCCGCCACTGGGCATGGTCTTGGCGGGGCCGATGGTGGGGATGCCGTGGCGGTGGTATGGCGCCCCCATGCCCACCAGCGGCAGCGCTGACACGCGCACCGTCATGCCCCGCTGTGCTGCCACTGCCTGCAAGGATGCGCGCATGGATGGAAAGAGGTTGAATGGCGGTACAGGGGAGAGGATGGTGAAGCCATGGCAACGGGACAGCGCACTCTATACGATGCGTCCAAAGCCCATGATGTGCGTTCCTCCCCGCTTCTTGTTCCTAGGCACTCTGCCTTGTCAGCCCCCCTTACCTGCATCTCCCCCTTACCTGCATCTCCCCCTTACCTGCATCTCCCCCGCACCTGCATCTCCCCCGCACCTGCATCTCCCCCGCACCTGCATCTCCCCCGCACCTGCATCTCCCCCGCACCTGCATCTCCCCCGCACCTGCATCTCGCTCAGAATGCTGACTGCGATCGTGTCCTCGCCATGCCCGTTGCTCACACACAGCAGATGGTACTGCCGCCCTGCCTTCGCCCTTTCCCCGCCCTCTTGTTGCTCCTTCCCTGCGACCCCCTCCCCCTCTCCCTTCTCCCTCCTCCCTTCCGCTCTACTTTCCTGCCACGGCTCTCTCCCTTCCTCCTCCATCGGCTTGCTCTCTCTCACCGCGTCATTCCCCTCACCGTTATCCCTCTCTTCCCTTAACCTGCTCGTCCCTATCTCATCGTGTGCATAGCTCGTCCCTCGCGTTTTAACTGCGCGTTTAGCTAAGCGCCGGTACCGAGTCGAGGGAAGGCCTACGAGCGGGCACGGAGACGAGTCGGAAACAAGCGGCACGGGGGGCGGCGGCCTGCACGTGTGGAGGCCACGGGTGGCATGAGGAGAGCTGTCGGGGCAGGGAATGTAGGCAGTGCGACGGCGAACGATACTAATGCCATGGTTACCGTCGTCGCGGAGGACGCACGACGGTACCTGCGATGCGGTTCGCAGGACCGCCGGAGAATGCGGAGGCACCAGCATCGCAAAAATGTGTGTGGCTTTCGGCTGTTCTGGTTGATTTAAAACCCGCGGGCCAAGAACTTCAACCTTAAGAATCTTGGTTGGAGCGAGCAACACAATTGGCCAAGATTGGATTAGGGTTCTGCAGTATTACGAGGCGGCGATCACACGAGCAATTTCCCGAACCCCACCATGCCCAGTTTCGAGTCGAACGGAACAAGGTTTTCTTTTTTGCAAAACATGTTGAGGTTGAACATGCGAAGGTTTGACTCCAGAATGTTCGACTGATCCAGGCCTACTTCCCAAAACCCACTCGAATTCAAACATGTTCGAGAAGTTTGGCTTGCTGTTGGTCGACCAATCTCCCTACTCCTTCACTTTGTGCATTCGTACACGCCCTGAGTACTGTGTGCCCAGCAGTTTTGTTTCAAACCACCCCCTCCATGACCCACCACTCCCTAACCTTTCATTCGTGCGCACGACTCTCGGAGTGCGAAGCGAATGCCACGCGCCATGGCTCTCTCCCAGTACGCCTTCTCCCCTCTAATAGCGCGCCAAACCGCCGCAACATTTTCAGTCTCCGCTCCCGCCGGGTTTAGCGCACTCCGCCAATCGGGCAGCCCGCCATCAGGATTGCGTTCCCTGCGAGGCCGCACCTGTTCCATGTCCGCGAAACCCGCGAGTCAGTCCTTTCACGGAAACCCTAGACTGACCTCGCCCGCAGTCGGGAATGCATGCCTGAGTGCTTTATGCAGTAGCCACGGGGAGAAACCGTTCTTTCCATTTCTAGTCCCGCGCGCTACCGCTGCGAATAAGCGACGAAGTTGTCGCCCGCTGGTGGTTACCGCAGCGTCTGCGAACAGTTTTCCGGGGGATTCCGAGCCGTCGCGCGATGTACCGAGCTCTAGCGCTCTTCGGCCAATGGACGCCGGCCACGTGGCAGCTGACGTGGTGCGGGCGGCGGAGGCGGCGGTTCTAGCGTGGTGGGCGACAGCGGCGACGTGGGTGAAATGGCCCGTTGCGATCTTGTGCGTGGGGGGGGGGGGGGAGGGGGGGGGGGATGGGGAGGATGAGGGGGGGAGGAAGAGCGGATGGCGTGGGAGGGGGTGAATACATTGCATGGCGGTTCTGTGATTATCACAGCGTCTCGGGTGAATCTGGCCGTGGTCATAGTATGGAGGGGTGATATGGGTGTAGTGGGAAAGGGGAATTTGGGGGACAGGGGGGAACAGAGGGGATAGGGGAACTAGGGCGGATTTGAGGACATGGTGCATGGCGGTGGTGTGCGTGAAGCAGCGGCGTGGGTGCAGTGCAAAGGGAGGTGGTCTGGTGAGGCGGCGTGCACGTGCTCCACACCCCGTCCCACCACGTTTACCCCCCTGCCCACTTCACATGCCTCCCCTCCCCTCCCCTCCCCTCCCCTCCCATCCCATCCCCTCCCAGCACCCTGCCTCCCGTCACTCTCCCTGTCATGCCAGCAGCTGCAGCACCCCACTTCTCCTGTCCGTCGCCTAGTCCCTCCAGCTCCTCTCCCCTACTGTCCTCCCCTCCTTTCTCCCTTGCTGCTTTTCTTTCCGATTCCCTTCCCTGATCACTCTCCCCCCTTGCACTCCCTCCCGCCTATCCCCCCAATGCAGCCTACCACTGTTCGCGGTGGTGAACATACTGTTCGGGGCAGCAACAGCAGCCGACCTCGCACCCCTCTGGCTGCTCGGCCCGCTCCTCCTCTCCGCCTCGCTCCGCCTCTCCCACTCCCTCCTCCAACTCTCCCTCACCCTTCTCAACCGCACTGCACCGCAGCGCCAGCTCCTTCTCACTCACGCCACCGACCTGGCAGGGTACCTTCGCTCCGGAAACGTCCCAGAAGATGCGAGGAAGCTTCTCGGGAAGGTGCAGGAGGAGGTGGAGGAGAAGAGGCGTAGTGCGTTGTCTGTAGTGCAGGAGAGGCGGGCGGCACTGGTGGTGTACGTGAACAGTGGGCGGATGGCAGAGGACGTGCAGTCCAAGGCAGAGCGGTGGGCCGTGGCGCGGTGGGAGGAGCTCTGTGATTGGACCATCGTGCGAGCAGAGGATGCGTCTGATTGGCTGAGAGTCACGCAGAGACGGGTGGGCAAGGTGGTGGAGAAGGTGTTCTGATGTGATCCGAGCCAGCGCCCGCTTGATCATAGAATGATCACGCAGTTCACTGTAGTCTCAAGCTTCGTCCCACATGAGTCAAATCAAATGTGACGCTTGAAAGCTCAGTGCTGCACATGTTATGCACAGGGGCTTCTGCCTTTGACGTGGAAAAACGTATCATCACAATTGTTATCCTCTCGCATACATGTACGGTGTGTACAAGGTTTGCTTGCTGTGCTGTACGGCTTACTCCTGCATTGTATTGCATTGTGCAAGGGCGCTGGCTTGATACAAGCAAATCAGAAAGAGCAAGCTCTACTTGCAGATTCCACACAGCCTGCCCGCTCCTACTGTAGGTATCTCCAACACATACCTGGGGACCTACCACGGCGAGCCTCTAACCTACCACCAACCACCACCTGCCTACCACAGCTACTGCTTGTGGCACATGGCCCAGTGGCACGGCCCTGCAGCGCACTCAAGCACCTTTCCCTGCCCGCCACATCCCTTCATGGCACCATTGCTGCTCTGCTTGTGAGTGGTGTAAACTTCAACTGTGGTAAACATTCCCTGGAACCAGCGGCATCATCGCCGCAACACACAACCCAGTCAGTGAGTGAGTCAGTGAGAGGGAGGAAAGCGAGGAGCAGAGTCAGCAGAGGAAGGGTCAAGGTATGCGGGCCACTGAGGGGCGTCCAGGCGCAGCGGCGACCCCAGGTAGTATGACGAGTCCTCACTGCCTGACTGCACTGCCTTCACCGTCCTCTCCTGCTGTTCCTCATGCTGCCGCCCTGCCGTCTCCTCCCCATCCCCCCTCTCGTCCTCCCGACCCTGTCCCGTGCCATCACTGCTCGAGCCTGAAAGAATCGCTGGCGGGGAGTCGGGTCGAGGGGAGTGGGAAGGTTGAGGGGAGTGTGTTGGTGGTGGAGAAGCGGGTGCTTGAGGCGAGGCAAGAGGGTGCGCGTCCCCTGCCTCTCCACCGCCCATGCCATGCCTCACACCCCTCACACCCCGCCTGCTGCGCTCTCCACTCCCACCGCCACCACCGCTGCCACCCGCTGCTGCTCGTGCCGCTCTCGTGTTGAATGCTCGCTTGCTGCCCTCCTCGCCGCCTGCCGCCGTTGCTGCTGCGCTTGCCTCGCCTCTGCCTCTCCCACCGCCCCGTCCCCCCACGCTCCTCTCACCCTTGTCCTTCCCCTTCCTCTCCACTCCAGTGATAGTCGCATTCCGTCGCGCTCCTCTCACTGCGCCTCTCCCTGTCCTCTCCTCCTCCACGCCCTCCATCCCTCCGCCCCTCTCCCGCAGCAGCATCTCTTCCTGTGCCTTCCTGGCTCGCAAACTCGCTTCTCTCCGCGGCCTTCCCGTCTCAACTCTCCGCTCCTCCTGCTTCTCATCCTCTCCTCCCGCCCCACCAGTGCCCGCCCCTCCACCTCCCCCTCTCCGTTTCTCCCCACCTGCCTTAGCCCCTCCCTCTCTCCCCTTCTTCCCTCTCTGCGGTAGCTCAGCTTCCACTGTTCCATTGCCCCAACTCTCCTGCCTGCGTGTTGTCCTTCTCCCTGCCAACCCTTCCTCCCCACCTCGCCCTTCCATCTCCTCCTCCTCCTCTTCCTTCTCTTCCTTCTCCTGCTTCCCCTGCTTCACCTGCCTCCTGCTCCGACCACCACCCACCCTCTTCCCATCTCCACCTGCTCCAACCACGCGTTGCCTCCCTCCCGAACCTCCACCCCTTCCACCCGAGCCTGCCTCCAAGCCTGTCGGCAACCCTGCCCGAGCCTCCATCTTCACCACAGTAGCAGCGGCAGCGGCAGAGCCTCGGGCAGACAGGGCATGTGCATGTGCAGGGAGGTGGGAGCGCGGTCGCTTGCGCGGTGGCGGGCGGGAAGGAGAGGGAGCACTCACTGCTGCTGGCGACGGCGGGCGTGCACGACTGTGATGCCCCTCACCACCGCCTTCCTCACTGCTGCTGCTCTCACTGCCCTTGTCCCTGTCGTCGCTGCCACGGCTCTCCTCGCTGTCCTCGTCGCTGTGAGCCGAGCCAGTGCCATTGGCAGCAGGAGCAGCAGCAGCAGCGAGGTCAGCATGGTGACTAAGTTGAGAGCGCGAGTGCGACTCAACACCAGACTGAACCACCGCTGCAGCGCTGCGCCTCCCACTGCCGCCACCACCGGCACCGGCTGCCCTCCTGAACCAAGGGGGCTTGGCACGTGTGAAGCAAAGTGCAGGTGCGGGTGGGTTGATGGACGCCCGCAGTCGCAAAGTGGCTGCTGCTGCGCTGCCTTCCTCCTTGCTCGCCTGCACAACCAAGTGCCATGCAGTGGGATGCGGTGCAATGCAGTTCAGTACAGTGCAGTGCAATGAGGTTGTGCCCTTACTACTTGAAACACGAGTTAGAATGTGAGCAATCAAAAGAAAACACAAGAGGCAGTGGCACTCAAGCCAGGGAAGCAGATGCGTGGGTGTATGAGAAGACGCTCAAGCAGATGCGTGGGTGTATGAGAAGACGCTCAAGCAGATGCGTGGGTGTATGAGAAGACGCTCAAGCAGATGCGTGGGTGTATGAGAAGACGCTCAAGCAGATGCGTGGGTGTATGAGAAGACGCTCAAGCAGATGCGTGGGTGTATGAGAAGACGCTCAAGCAGATGCGTGGGTGTATGAGAAGACGCTCAAGCAGATGCGTGGGTGTATGAGAAGACGCTCAAGCAGATGCGTGGGTGTATGAGAAGACGCTCAAGCAGATGCGTGGGTGTATGAGAAGACGCTCAAGCAGATGCGTGGGTGTATGAGAAGACGCTCAAGCAGATGCGTGGGTGTATGAGAAGACGCTCAAGCAGATGCGTGGGTGTATGAGAAGACGCTCAAGCAGATGCGTGGGTGTATGAGAAGACGCTCAAGCAGATGCGTGGGTGTATGAGAAGACGCTCAAGCAGATGCGTGGGTGTATGAGAAGACGCTCAAGCAGATGCGTGGGTGTATGAGAAGACGCTCAAGCAGATGCGTGGGTGTATGAGAAGACGCTCAAGCAGATGCGTGGGTGTATGAGAAGACGCTCAAGCAGATGCGTGGGTGTATGAGAAGACGCTCAAGCAGATGCGTGGGTGTATGAGAAGACGCTCAAGCAGGCGCATGCAAACTTCCTCGCCCGCCATAGGCCAACCTTACACCATCGACCCATCTGCCCCCCTCACCTGCTTCTGTCGAGACATTGACGCTCTGCCCTTCTGCTGCCCCCGCTGCTGCTGCCCCTCTTCCCTCCTCCCCTCCCCCTCATCCTCCTCCCCGTCCTCCTCCTCCTTCACCCCCTCCCCCTCCTCCACCTCCGCCTCCTGCTCCCGTCCCACACGCCGCACGGCACCTCTGCCACGGGCCGACAGCGGCCGCTGCACGCGCCTGCTTGCCCCCCCACTCATGCGGGCCGCCCTCGCTCCCGTTGATACCATCTGCGGCTTCACCCCCTCCTCTCCCTCCTGTGTCTTCACTCCGTGCCGCACTCGCGCATCTCTGCTTCCCCTCTTTTCATCCCTCTTCTTCACCTTCCCCTGCTTCACCTCCTGCCCCTCCTCTGTGCCTTGTGTGCCACTCTCGTCCTTCACACCCCCTTCGTCAGCACCCATCCGTCTCTTCTTCACGTGTCGTCGCAGCCCCTTCGTTCGCACTCGAAGCTTCACCTGCAAATCCTCCTCTTCCTCGTCTTCCTCCTCCTCTTGCTTCTGCTCCTCTTCCTCCTCTTCCTCCTCCTCCTCTGCCTCCTCAACCACCTCCTTCCATTTTCTCTTCCCTGCACGCACCTTCACCCCACCTTTCTTCTTCAGTCGGTGCAAGCGCTCATTCTCATTCCGCCCCGTCCTACACAATCCTCTGCCCGCCCCCCCTTCACCCACCCCTCTACCCCATCCCCCCTTCTTACCCCTCCCGCCCTTCACTCTTCCTTCCTCTCGCATTCTCCCTCTCCCTTTCTCCTTCACCTTCCCCTCCCTCTTCTCCCTCTCCTCCTTCCCTTTCGCCCGCTCCCTTTCCTGCGTGCGCCGCACCACCTCCCTCGCCTCCCACTCCGCCCAGTCCACCATCCCTTCAACTGCCTCCTCTCTCCTCGCCCCCTCCACCTGCTCCCACCACACCCCCTCCAGTCGCCTTGCTTCATCAGGCACCCACCATCCCACCTCCCCGTCACGCCCTGCGTCAACCCCTCTACCATTCCCTTTCCAAGTCCCCGCACTCCCCCCAGCTCCTCGCCTATCCCCCAGGACAGCTGCCTCCAGGGCGGCCAATCGCAGAGCGACAGCAGCGCACGTGAGGGGCACAGTGGGCAGCGGCATGGCAACAAGGGAAGGAAGGGCCCGTGTCCACCCCCCTGCTACAGCCTGCTCGCCATCCCTCCCACCTCTTTCTCTGCCGTTCCCCCCTTGCCTCCCCTCCTCACCCACGTCCGTCTGACCCTCTCTTGTGGATTTGCCCTCCTCCATCCCACCGCCTGCACCAGCAATGGTCTGCCCCCTGTCTGGAACAGCAACAGCAACTGCCTCCTCTGCCGAGCACCTTCCCTCATGTCCGCTCCTCCTCTCCCCCACCTCGCCACCACCACCACCCGCCTGCCTCGCCTCCTCACCACACCCCGTCCCGCCTTCACCCCGCTCTCCCTCCTCCCTCCCGCTCTCTCCTCCACTCCCCCTCTCGTCCCCGTCTTTGCCCCTCTCCCCTCCGCTCCTTCCAGCTTGAGCTGCGGGCTCACCTCGACTCCCTCGCATCCTGAGAGCCAATCGTAGGGCGACATTTGGCGCGGGGCTGAAGGAGCCGTGGATGAAGGTGGGGGGGATGGCGGCCTCCAGCTGGCACAGCAGCTGCAGAAAGAGGGGGGGGGGGGGGGGGGGGGGGGGAAGAAGGAAAGGGACAGCAAGAGTGTGGGGAAGGGAATGTTTGGAGAGTGGGATGTTCGTTCCGGGTGGGGTGTCTGGTGACTAGTCTGGGGTGAGTGAGGGAGGCCTGGCGAAAGGGTGGTTGAAACGAAGGGTGTTCAAGGGGCAGTCGAGGGTGGGAGGAGCTATGGGAAGGGGGGAAACGGAGCAGGGGCAAGAGGCACGTGGTGACGTGCGCAGGGAGAGACAGATGGACCAGTAGGTAGAGAAAGGGCGCTGGGATGGGGAGGAGCGGAGGTGAGAGCGCGAAAGTGAGGAGAAACAAAAGAGAATCCCACACCTGCTGCCATACGTTGCCCCATAAGCCTTATCTGCCTGCTGCCATGCCTGTCACATGCACACGAGGCATACCTGCAGCAGGTGTGCAGCATGCCACGCCATGTGCACCGCTGCACGCCACCTGCGCCGTCTCTCCCCCGTCCACTCCACCGCCAGCTTGCCCCCCGCCTCCAATGCCCCCTGCCAAGGCCATGGGCGTGGGCGTGGGCGTGGGCATGGGCATGGGCATGGGCATGGGTAGCATAAGCATGGGCATGGGCATGGGCATGGGCATGGGCATGGGCATGGGCATGGGCATGGCATAAGCATGGGCATGGGCATGGGCATGGGCATGGGCATGGGCATAAGCATGGGCATGGGCGTGAACATGGGCATGGGCATGGGCATGGCATGGGCATGGGTATGGGTATGCAGAAACCCACATGCCCCAGATGCTCCACAGCACACCTGGGCAGCCAGCAGGGAGTGTTGGAGGCGGCGCACACGGGGGGGGATGGCCGCCCCACAGCCCTCCTCCCTGCCTGCCCCCTCTACTCCTGCTGCTCCACTCGCTGCACCTGCTGTGCCTTCCTCTGCTACACGTTTGCACTCCCCACATGCCACCACCGCATTTGACCCTGCCCAGCCCACAGCAGCACCTGCTGCTGCCGCTGGTGCTGTCGCTGCCGCTGGTGCTGCTACTGCCACTGCTGCATCCCTGCCATCAGCACCCAGGGAAGCGCGCTGTGCTGTGGCCACATCAGCACCAGCAGTGACATCATGACAAAGTGCTGCTCCCCCCTCCTCCTCCTGCCTGTTGCCTCTCACCACCTCGCCACATTCCCTGCTCTGCTCTCCCTCCTTCCCTACCCCTCTCTGTTCCTGTTCCCTGCCTCTTCCTACACCCCCTCCCCTCCCCATCGCACTACACCACTCTCCATCATACACCATCGACTCAATCCCGCCCCGGCCACCCCACAACCCGGCCTCTGCATCCCCAATGGATCGAAGCAGCCAGGAAGCTTCCTCGGAGAGGAAAGCGCAAGAGGGTGAGGGCAGGGGTGGTGCAGGAGGGGTGGCTCTCAGGTGGTGCTGGGTGTGAGCAGGTGGAGCGAGAGCAGTGCTGTGCACGGGCTCACATGTGTGCATGGGTGGCCATGCCAGCCTGGCGCCACCTTCATTCGCCTGGGCGGGTTGGATGGTGGCGGCAGCAGGGGCATGGGGAGGGGGAAGCACAGGTTGCGTGGCATCTGCTTCCCTGCTTGCTGGTGCAGCCGGCATCATGGCACCCTCCCCCTTTGTGTCACCCACGGGTGGTTTAGGCGGCACGGCAGGTGTTTCGGAGGGGGTGGCTAGTGCTTCTGGTGGAGTGGCAGGTGCGTTGGGTGGCATGGGAGGTGAGGCTGGTGGCACGGACGACATGAGGGGTGGAGGAGGCGACTCAAGGGCACCAGCAGAGGCTGTTGGGGGTGCAATGGTGGTGGCAGCTGGTGTGGTGATGGTAGCAGCCGGTGCAGTGGTGGTGCCGGGTATAGCAGCAGTGCAGAGCGGTGGAGTGAGGGAAGAGAGGTGGTGGCGGAGGTTGGAGAGCAGCGCGGATTCCCTCACACCGCGCGGGTACAGCAGCGCCTTGAGATGCGCCAGTGACTGCAAGAATACGTGGGGGGAGATGGGGAGAAGAGGAGGGGAGGGAAACATGGGTGAAGGCCTAGACTGTGAATGTGGGGAGCGGCGAGGGAAAGAGTGAGTGGATGAGGCGGTGAAGCGTGGGCTTGGGACGAAAGGAGTCACACTCAATGGTGGTGGGCGTTGGAACAAGGAGGGTAGGAAAAGGATGAAGCCCTTCCAAATGTGCAGAACCCTAGGCTGACCCCTCAGGTGCTACATAACCATTTTGCACGCACCTTCCATACAACCTATTTTGCTGCGCGCACCTGGGCGTCTCGAATGGCGCTCCACTGCCCCTCCGCTGACAGCACGTACACCCCCACCATCGCCTGCTCCCCTCCCCTGCCACCTCCCCCACCATTACCATCACTACCACCACTTTCTCCTCCCCGCCTCCCATCGTCCCCTTCTTTCCTTCCCCCATATCCTCGCCAGCGGCACACCTCGTGCCCAGGGAGCGCAGCAGCAGCAGCAGCAGCAGCAGCAGCAGCAGCGGTGGCGGAGAGGGGGAGGCGGTGGAAGCACCAGTAGGAGTGGGCGCGGCGGTCGCAGCCCAAAGGCACATGGCGGATGCTGTAGCTCGCCTCTGCAAACTCCACCCCGCCTGGCGCCGCCGCTGCAGGTGCAGCAGTAGCAGCAGGTGCAGCATTAGTTGCAGGAGAAGCATCAGCAGGAGGAGGAGAAGAAGTAGCAGCGCGAGCAGTAGTAGCAGCAAGAGAAGCATTAGCAACAGTAACAGCAGGAGAAGCATTAGCAGCAGTAGAAGCAGGAGCAGCAGCAGGAGGAGGAGAAGACACAGCAGCAGGGACAGCAGTAGCAGCAAGATCAGCAGCGGCAGGAGGAGGAGAAACAGTAGCAACACTAGCAGCAGGAGAAGCAGTAGCAGCAATCGCAGCAGGAGCAGCAGGGGCAGCAGGAGAAGCAGGGGCAGCAGGGGCAGCAAGAGCAGCAGGAGCAGCAGCAGAAGGAGAAGGAGGAGGAGGAGACGCACTAACAGCATTAGCAGTAGGAGTAGCAATAGCAGTAAAGGCAGCAGTAGTTGTAGTAGCAGCAGTAGCAGGAGCAGCCGGAGAAGCGGCAGCAGGAACAGCCGTAATAGAAGTAGCAGCAGCAGAAGTAGCAGGAGCAGCAGCAGGAGAAGCAGAAGCAGCAGCAGGAGAAGCAGGAGCAGCAGCAGCAGAAGCAGGAACAGCTGCCGTGCTTGCATTGGGAGGAGGTGCAGCGGGGAGAGGCGTATTGGGAGGAGCAGCTGTGGTGGCACAGGGAGGAGCTTCAGAAACAGCCCTTGCCAGAGAGCCAGAAGCAGCAGCGTCTGCAACAGCAGGTGCAGAGTCATCCGGTCCACGAACAGCAACAGGTGTGACAGTGGCAGCAGCGGCAGCAATGGTATGAGCAGCAGCAGGAACAGACACAGCAGGAGCATCACAGGACATTGGAGTCACCCCCTCCTCCGCCAACTGCCTCCCTGCCTCTGACCTCTCTTTCTCCTCCCCCTCCACCTTCACATCACTCCTCGGCTTTCCCTGTAGCCCCTCCTTCTTCCCTCGTTCCCGCTGTTCTTTCCTCACCTCTGTGGTTTCCTCGTCCATCTGCTCCTCCTTGCTGCACCCCGCCATCCCCTCTGCCTCGCCACGTCCATCCCTCCTCCTTCCCACTACCCCTTCCCGATGTACCCGCCCCTCACATTCCTCCACCACGCTCGCTTCTTGCTTCACCGCATGCTTTCCTGTCCCCATCGCCTCCGCTTTTTGAGGCGTCTCAGAAGCCCTTATCCCCTTATCCTCACTGCTCCTCGCCACCGTTGCTTCGTCTCCTTCACTCTTTCTTTGCCACTCCTCCACCCTCCTTCCACTCTCCTCTTTCTCCTCTTTCTCCTCTCTCTCCACTGGCTTCCCCTCCTCCCTCAAATCCCCTCTCGCCCCACCATCATCTCTCCCCCTTGCCTCTGGAGGCACTCCCTGTGTGACCAGCAGGGGTGGCGGCAGCAGTAGGGGAGCCTCAGAGAGCGACGCCTGCAGCACCGCTCCCACCGCCTGGTTCCCAGCGGGTGCTGCGCCTTGAGTGAGTGGGGAAGACGTGGCGGCCGCTCCTGCTGCAGCAGCACCACCATCGCCTCCAGCTGCCGTAGCAGCAGCATCAGGTGCAGCATCACCAGAAGGACTCGCAGCAGCGTGGGGAGGGCAGCGCAGGGGCAGGGAGGCGGGGTGGAGGGCGGGGGGCCGCCAGGCGCCCTTCCTGCGGTGCAGCGACGCCTCCACCCACCGCTGCCGCCGGTATGATGACTGCACCTCGTACCGCGCCTGCCCAGCAGAGATGGGCAGGCGAGAGGGAGAAAGAAGAGGTTGGAACACAAGAAGAGGGCTACCAGGGAACATACTGAAACGATGGGTGGAGTGCACCTTGCTCTTGGTTTATGCAGCAGCCAAGTACGGGGAGGTGGCAGTGAGAAGAGGGGAGGAGAGAGAGCGCACCTCGATGGCAGCGCGGATGGTGGAGGAGTCGTTGACTGCGTTGACCAGGTCAACGAGCAGGTCAACCCGCTCCTCCACACTGAGCTCGCTGTACTCCACCCCTCCCAGCGCCGCCACCCACGCCCTCCTCTGCCCTGCCTCTCCCTCCCCACCCTCCACTTCCTCTGCCTCCTCCTCTCCATCGCACTCCTCATCAGACTCCCACTCCCACTCGCTCTCATCACCGCTGCCACCAGCACCACCACCCTCCTCCCCCCTGCCCTGCTGCTGTTTCTCATCACCAGTCGTCTCCCCTCCCTCGCCTGTCCCACGCCCTGCCTGCATGCCATCCACCGCCTGCACCTCCTCCTCCCCCAGCCGCACTCCCTCACACCACACCATCCGCACATCGCCGCCCACCTCCACACTGCCGTCGCCTCCCATCGCCTCACCATGCACCATGGTGTCAGCAGGACCAGGCCCGATTGCAGCAGCACAGCCGGGTGCATCCTCTGCATCTGTCACCGTCGCCCTCACTGGTTCATCGCCCCTGACATTCGTGCTCGTGCCCACCCCTCCTTCCATCATCTCGCCCTGCAAGCCCTCGCCCGTCACGCGCACGTGTCGCGCATCCATCATGTCATTCACAGCCATGCCTTCCTCTGTGGTGTCCTGCCCGCTCTGCTCGGGTGCCCTGCACCGCCCAGTCAATTCACCACCCTCTCTGCGTTCACCGCCCTCGCTGCCTGCACCGCCCCCACCTCCTGCACCACGGCCCTCACAACGCGGCCCATCCACGTCCATCCGCTCGCCCTGCCCTTGCCCACCACTCTGCTGCCTTCCCTCCTCTGCCCCACCACCCTCTTCCGCGCCCTCCCTTCCTCCCCCACCCTCCTCCTCACCTACACCCTCACTCTCCACCTCCTTCTCCTCACCCTCCACCTCCTTCTCACCCTCACCACCCACCTCCTTTCCATCCTCTCCATCCTCTCCCTCCACCTCTCTCTCGTCTCCCTCCTCCTCTCCCTCATCCCCCTCCTCCTCCCCTCGCCTCCCCTCAGCCGCGCGTCGCACAAGCTCAACAGCCTCCCGCAGCCCCTCCTCTCGCTCCCCCTCGCCCCGCCTGTACGCCCCGCGCACGCAGTAGGTGCAGCTGGCCACGCGCTGGAACAGCAGATCTCTCGCCAGCGCACCAGTAATGGTAGCCTCAGGGGTGCGGCTGCCAGACAGGTCTCTCAGCCCGCACTGCTGGATGCGGTGCGCCAGCACGGTCACGGGCAGCCCGGCTGGCCCCTCGTACGCCAGCACGTGGAAGGCCGCGAACTTCACCGTGCCGGGCGCCAGCCGTGCCACCATGCGCGGCACTGGAGACACGTGCGGGCTGCTGCTGTGGGCTGGCAGGGTCTTTGGCGGAGGAGAGGCAGTGGCAGGGGGGAAAGGGTTCGCGTCGGTGGCAGCACCAACACTGCCCTTGCTATCCCCTCCGGCACTTGCTGCCCCTTCCCCTGCCTTCCCCACTCCTCGTGCCCATGCCCCTGTGTGCCGCTCCTCCTGCTTGCCATCATCCTCCTCGTCGTCGCTGAAGCGGCCGCCGCCAGCAGCGAGGTATGCCAGGTACTGTGCGTGCAGTTGCCGCCGCTGCTCCTCCCGCCACGCCTGCTGCTCCTCCAACGCCTGCTTTGCCGCCACGTCAGCTGCCCTGCCTGATGCCAGGTCAGCAACGAGAGCTTCTTGGACAGCAGCCTGTAGCGCGTTGGGAGGGAGTGGTGGGGCATGGGCCAATGCAAAACAGACATGCTGCCCTCTTACTTGGTTGCAAGGGCGATTGGGCGAAGCAACCATTACACTCATGCGCACGCTACACATTGTCGCGCACACCTTCACAGTCATGTGCCAACGGTTTCATTTCACGTCTCCCTATCCGTGCCACCATCACGCTTGCTCAGCTCAACATACCATCATGCCACCATGCCATGATGCCACCATCCCGCCTGCCTCACCTCGTCACCACTCTCATCGCTGCAGTCGCCGCCCACACCAACGCCCGCACCAACGCCCGCAGCACAGGCCTTCCCATGCATGGGCGCCCCTCGGAAGCAACGGCTGTGAAGGCGGTGGTGGCGGCGCCGGGGAGGGGGGCGGGGAGGGCCCCAGGCGGCAGCAAGGGCGTACTGGCGCAGCACCTCGGGCCACGTGAGCGGCCCCAGCAGGCGGCGCCACAGGCTTGGCGTGAAGCCCCACTCGCTTGCCTGGGAGGGATGAGGGATTTGTGGGAGGGGAGAGAGAATGGAGTGGCGAGTGTTGGAGTAGGCTAGAGCTCGCCCTGACATTTATCATGGTGTTCTTTTGTTATTTCGCCATGTTTAGAGCGAGTTACACTTTCGGTTCAGTTTAGGTTCATTTCTTAGTTTCTAGCACAAACTGAACACACCCTAAGTTCAATTAGGGTTTCCTACATTTGTATCTCGACACTCTTGTTAGTCAATCTCTTGTACCATCTTGCTAGCCATGGCTACTACTCTCATATTAACAGCGAGAGCATGTGGGTGGAAGGAGGAAGGATCGCTGGTGTACATAGAAGTGGATATCGGAGGGAGAGTGAGAGGAGATTGAGTGGAGAGTGGGGCCTGCAAGCACAGTGGTGAACTCAACTCATCCTCTACTGCACCGCACTGCGCTTCCGCCACGCACCACACATGCGACACTGTTACATGGTTATCGTGCTATAACAGGGCCCCCTCACCTGAGCCACGACAGCAGCAGCGGAGTGCAGCACGAGCGCCCTGGCGGTGTCGGACCCGCCCACTGCTGCTGCCAATGCCTCCGCCACCGCTGCTGCCATGCCCGCTGTCCGCGCTGCACCCCCCCCAGCTCCCTCTGCTCCCCTGCCACCAGCTGCACCTACATCTACGCCCGTGAGCGCATCTGTGCCTTTGGTGGGTCTATGCAAGGCGTTCAAGTGGTTAGCACTAGGGTTAGTAGTGGAGATACGGTTAAGGTTAGGCTGAAGAGATTTGGGGCTGGCTGTATGGTGGTAGACGGTACTGGGAGCTGCACGACTGCTGGGAGGCGGCATGGTGGGGGGTGTGTGTACAGTTGCTGGTGGAGGTGGTGGAGGTGCTGCACTTGCGAGGGGTGGGGCGGTGTCGACGAGCAGCACTCGCATGAGCGAGAGATGGATCTCCGTCAGCAGGCGCGACTCCTGATGGCGTGACGGGCGAGGCGGGAGAGGAGACGTGAGTGGCGCATGACAGAGGAGGGAGGGATGCGATCGGAAGGAGAAGAAGAGGGGAACGTATGGGGATGCAGGAAGGGATGCGAGTCAGCAAGGGAGCGAGCGAGATGAGGGAGCATGAGTTTGGGGAGCAGAGAGGGCAAGCAGTGGCATGCGAACAGCATTGCTGCAGAAGCGCAGCCACTGCAGGGTCGACACACTGGAACTTGCTGGGCTTGCACGAAGCAGGTGTGGTGTAAGAGTTGCAAGATGGCGCCTGGGGTCAAATGCAGAAACGTGCAGAGCGGAGCAGACAGAGAGGCACGGCGGGGTGGGTGGGTGTGCACTGACAGGGAGGTGGAGCGCGTGCGCGAGGTGGTGCAGGGAGAAGGGCCAGAGGGCGAGCGTGTCCGCGAAGGTGGTGAGGAACGAATACACCTGCAGGAGGAAGGAGAAGGGGGCGAGAGGAGGTCGAGTTTGAGTGGATGCAGAATTGCCCCGGAGAAGAGAAAAGGGACAAGGGGAGTGGGTGGCAGATGCGATGGTAGGAAGACGGCACAGCATGGAGGGTGCGGGGTGGCTTATAATTGTGTGAGACGACCAGTGGCGCGTGGAGTGAGAGGGGGGAATTTTATGGGTGGAGTGGACATGAGAGGAACCATTAGGAGGGTGCAGGAGAGGAGAGGCTGCCAACGCATGGGAAAGTGACGGGCAGCACAGTGAGGGATCAGCAGCTTGCGTGGCAGGGAGGAGGAGAGGCACGATGAGGGGAGAGGGGCGGGCAGGGGCAGCATGGGTAGAGGAGGGGAGGGGAGGTGCACCATAAGGAGAGGATGGCGCACCATAAGGAGAGGATGGCGCACCATAAGGAGAGGATGGCGCACCATAAGGAGAGGATGGCGCACCATAAGGAGAGGATGGCGCACCATAAGGAGAGGATGGCGCACCATAAGGAGAGGATGGCGCACCATAAGGAGAGGATGGCACACCATAAGGAGAGGATGGCGCACCATAAGGAGAGGATGGCGCACCATAAGGAGAGGATGGCGCACCATAAGGAGAGGATGGCGCACCATAAGGAGAGGATGGCGCACCATAAGGAGAGGATGGCGCACCATAAGGAGAGGATGGCGCACCATAAGGAGAGGATGGCGCACCATAAGGAGAGGATGGCGCACCATAAGGAGAGGATGGCGCACCATAAGGAGAGGATGGCGCACCATAAGGAGAGGATGGCGCACCATAAGGAGAGGATGGCGCACCATAAGGAGAGGATGGCGCACCATAAGGAGAGGATGGCGCACCATAAGGAGAGGATGGCGCACCATAAGGAGAGGATGGCGCACCATAAGGAGAGGATGGCGCACCATAAGGAGAGGATGGCGCACCATAAGGAGAGGATGGCGCACCATAAGGAGAGGATGGCGCACCATAAGGAGAGGATGGCGCACCATAAGGAGAGGATGGCGCACCATAAGGAGAGGATGGCGCACCATAAGGAGAGTATGGCGCACCATAAGGAGAGTATGGCGCACCATAAGGAGAGTATGGCGCACCATAAGGAGAGTATGGCGCACCATAAGGAGAGTATGGCGCACCATAAGGAGAGTATGGCGCACCATAAGGAGAGTATGGCGCACCATAAGGAGAGTATGGCGCACCATAAGGAGAGTATGGCGCACCATAAGGAGAGTATGGCGCACCATAAGGAGAGTATGGCGCACCATAAGGAGAGTATGGCGCACCATAAGGAGAGTATGGCGCACCATAAGGAGAGTATGGCGCACCATAAGGAGAGTATGGCGCACCATAAGGAGAGTATGGCGCACCATAAGGAGAGGATGGCGCACCATAAGGAGAGGATGGCGCACCATAAGGAGAGGATGGCGCACCATAAGGAGAGGATGGCGCACCATAAGGAGAGGATGGCGCACCATAAGGAGAGGATGGCGCACCATAAGGAGAGGATGGCGCACCATAAGGAGAGGATGGCGCACCATAAGGAGAGGATGGCGCACCATAAGGAGAGGATGGCGCACCATAAGGAGAGGATGGCGCACCATAAGGAGAGGATGGCGCACCATAAGGAGAGGATGGCGCACCATAAGGAGAGGATGGCGCACCATAAGGAGAGGATGGCGCACCATAAGGAGAGGATGGCGCACCATAAGGAGAGGATGGCGCACCATAAGGAGAGGATGGCGCACCATAAGGAGAGGATGGCGCACCATAAGGAGAGGATGGCGCACCATAAGGAGAGGATGGCGCACCATAAGGAGAGGATGGCGCACCATAAGGAGAGGATGGCGCACCATAAGGAGAGGATGGCGCACCATAAGGAGAGGATGGCGCACCATAAGGAGAGGATGGCGCACCATAAGGAGAGGATGGCGCACCATAAGGAGAGGATGGCGCACCATAAGGAGAGGATGGCGCACCATAAGGAGAGGATGGCGCACCATAAGGAGAGGATGGCGCACCATAAGGAGAGTATGGCGCACCATAAGGAGAGGATGGCGCACCATAAGGAGAGGATGGCGCACCATAAGGAGAGGATGGCGCACCATAAGGAGAGGATGGCGCACCATAAGGAGAGGATGGCGCACCATAAGGAGAGGATGGCGCACCATAAGGAGAGGATGGCGCACCATAAGGAGAGGATGGCGCACCATAAGGAGAGTATGGCGCACCATAAGGAGAGTATGGCGCACCATAAGGAGAGTATGGCGCACCATAAGGAGAGTATGGCGCACCATAAGGAGAGTATGGCGCACCATAAGGAGAGTATGGCGCACCATAAGGAGAGTATGGCGCACCATAAGGAGAGTATGGCGCACCATAAGGAGAGTATGGCGCACCATAAGGAGAGTATGGCGCACCATAAGGAGAGTATGGCGCACCATAAGGAGAGTATGGCGCACCATAAGGAGAGTATGGCGCACCATAAGGAGAGTATGGCGCACCATAAGGAGAGTATGGCGCACCATAAGGAGAGCTATGGCGCACCATAAGGAGAGTATGGCGCACCATAAGGAGAGCATGGCGCACCATAAGGAGAGTATGGCGCACCATAAGGAGAGTATGGCGCACCATAAGGAGAGTATGGCGCACCATAAGGAGAGTATGGCGCACCATAAGGAGAGTATGGCGCACCATAAGGAGAGTATGGCGCACCATAAGGAGAGTATGGCGCACCATAAGGAGAGTATGGCGCACCATAAGGAGAGTATGGCGCACCATAAGGAGAGTATGGCGCACCATAAGGAGAGTATGGCGCACCATAAGGAGAGTATGGCGCACCATAAGGAGAGTATGGCGCACCATAAGGAGAGTATGGCGCACCATAAGGAGAGTATGGCGCACCATAAGGAGAGTATGGCGCACCATAAGGAGAGTATGGCGCACCATAAGGAGAGTATGGCGCACCATAAGGAGAGTATGGCGCACCATAAGGAGAGTATGGCGCACCATAAGGAGAGTATGGCGCACCATAAGGAGAGTATGGCGCACCATAAGGAGAGCATGGCGCACCATAAGGAGAGTATGGCGCACCATAAGGAGAGTATGGCGCACCATAAGGAGAGTATGGCGCACCATAAGGAGAGTATGGCGCACCATAAGGAGAGTATGGCGCACCATAAGGAGAGTATGGCGCACCATAAGGAGAGTATGGCGCACCATAAGGAGAGTATGGCGCATAAGGAGAGTATGGCGCACCATAAGGAGAGTATGGCGCACCATAAGGAGAGTATGGCGCACCATAAGGAGAGTATGGCGCACCATAAGGAGAGTATGGCGCACCATAAGGAGAGTATGGCGCACCATAAGGAGAGTATGGCGCACCATAAGGAGAGTATGGCGCACCATAAGGAGAGTATGGCGCACCATAAGGAGAGTATGGCGCACCATAAGGAGAGTATGGCGCACCATAAGGAGAGTATGGCGCACCATAAGGAGAGTATGGCGCACCATAAGGAGAGTATGGCGCACCATAAGGAGAGTATGGCGCACCATAAGGAGAGTATGGCGCACCATAAGGAGAGTATGGCGCACCATAAGGAGAGTATGGCGCACCATAAGGAGAGTATGGCGCACCATAAGGAGAGTATGGCGCACCATAAGGAGAGTATGGCGCACCATAAGGAGAGTATGGCGCACCATAAGGAGAGTATGGCGCACCATAAGGAGAGTATGGCGCACCATAAGGAGAGTATGGCGCACCATAAGGAGAGTATGGCGCACCATAAGGAGAGTATGGCGCACCATAAGGAGAGTATGGCGCACCATAAGGAGAGTATGGCGCACCATAAGGAGAGTATGGCGCACCATAAGGAGAGTATGGCGCACCATAAGGAGAGTATGGCGCACCATAAGGAGAGTATGGCGCACCATAAGGAGAGTATGGCGCACCATAAGGAGAGTATGGCGCACCATAAGGAGAGTATGGCGCACCATAAGGAGAGTATGGCGCACCATAAGGAGAGTATGGCGCACCATAAGGAGAGTATGGCGCACCATAAGGAGAGTATGGCGCACCATAAGGAGAGTATGGCGCACCATAAGGAGAGTATGGCGCACCATAAGGAGAGTATGGCGCACCATAAGGAAGAGTATGGCGCACCATAAGGAGAGTATGGCGCACCATAAGGAGAGTATGGCGCACCATAAGGAGAGTATGGCGCACCATAAGGAGAGTATGGCGCACCATAAGGAGAGTATGGCGCACCATAAGGAGAGTATGGCGCACCATAAGGAGAGTATGGCGCACCATAAGGAGAGTATGGCGCACCATAAGGAGAGTATGGCGCACCATAAGGAGAGTATGGCGCACCATAAGGAGAGTATGGCGCACCATAAGGAGAGTATGGCGCACCATAAGGAGAGTATGGCGCACCATAAGGAGAGTATGGCGCACCATAAGGAGAGTATGGCGCACCATAAGGAGAGTATGGCGCACCATAAGGAGAGTATGGCGCACCATAAGGAGAGTATGGCGCACCATAAGGAGAGTATGGCGCACCATAAGGAGAGTATGGCGCACCATAAGGAGAGTATGGCGCACCATAAGGAGAGTATGGCGCACCATAAGGAGAGTATGGCGCACCATAAGGAGAGTATGGCGCACCATAAGGAGAGTATGGCGCACCATAAGGAGAGTATGGCGCACCATAAGGAGAGTATGGCGCACCATAAGGAGAGTATGGCGCACCATAAGGAGAGTATGGCGCACCATAAGGAGAGTATGGCGCACCATAAGGAGAGTATGGCGCACCATAAGGAGAGTATGGCGCACCATAAGGAGAGTATGGCGCACCATAAGGAGAGTATGGCGCACCATAAGGAGAGTATGGCGCACCATAAGGAGAGTATGGCGCACCATAAGGAGAGTATGGCGCACCATAAGGAGAGTATGGCGCACCATAAGGAGAGTATGGCGCACCATAAGGAGAGTATGGCGCACCATAAGGAGAGTATGGCGCACCATAAGGAGAGTATGGCGCACCATAAGGAGAGTATGGCGCACCATAAGGAGAGTATGGCGCACCATAAGGAGAGTATGGCGCACCATAAGGAGAGTATGGCGCACCATAAGGAGAGTATGGCGCACCATAAGGAGAGTATGGCGCACCATAAGGAGAGTATGGCGCACCATAAGGAGAGTATGGCGCACCATAAGGAGAGTATGGCGCACCATAAGGAGAGTATGGCGCACCATAAGGAGAGTATGGCGCACCATAAGGAGAGTATGGCGCACCATAAGGAGAGTATGGCGCACCATAAGGAGAGTATGGCGCACCATAAGGAGAGTATGGCGCACCATAAGGAGAGTATGGCGCACCATAAGGAGAGTATGGCGCACCATAAGGAGAGTATGGCGCACCATAAGGAGAGTATGGCGCACCATAAGGAGAGTATGGCGCACCATAAGGAGAGTATGGCGCACCATAAGGAGAGTATGGCGCACCATAAGGAGAGTATGGCGCACCATAAGGAGAGTATGGCGCACCATAAGGAGAGTATGGCGCACCATAAGGAGAGTATGGCGCACCATAAGGAGAGTATGGCGCACCATAAGGAGAGTATGGCGCACCATAAGGAGAGTATGGCGCACCATAAGGAGAGTATGGCGCACCATAAGGAGAGTATGGCGCACCATAAGGAGAGTATGGCGCACCATAAGGAGAGTATGGCGCACCATAAGGAGAGTATGGCGCACCATAAGGAGAGTATGGCGCACCATAAGGAGAGTATGGCGCACCATAAGGAGAGTATGGCGCACCATAAGGAGAGTATGGCGCACCATAAGGAGAGTATGGCGCACCATAAGGAGAGTATGGCGCACCATAAGGAGAGTATGGCGCACCATAAGGAGAGTATGGCGCACCATAAGGAGAGTATGGCGCACCATAAGGAGAGTATGGCGCACCATAAGGAGAGTATGGCGCACCATAAGGAGAGTATGGCGCACCATAAGGAGAGTATGGCGCACCATAAGGAGAGTATGGCGCACCATAAGGAGAGTATGGCGCACCATAAGGAGAGTATGGCGCACCATAAGGAGAGTATGGCGCACCATAAGGAGAGTATGGCGCACCATAAGGAGAGTATGGCGCACCATAAGGAGAGTATGGCGCACCATAAGGAGAGTATGGCGCACCATAAGGAGAGTATGGCGCACCATAAGGAGAGTATGGCGCACCATAAGGAGAGTATGGCGCACCATAAGGAGAGTATGGCGCACCATAAGGAGAGTATGGCGCACCATAAGGAGAGTATGGCGCACCATAAGGAGAGTATGGCGCACCATAAGGAGAGTATGGCGCACCATAAGGAGAGTATGGCGCACCATAAGGAGAGTATGGCGCACCATAAGGAGAGTATGGCGCACCATAAGGAGAGTATGGCGCACCATAAGGAGAGTATGGCGCACCATAAGGAGAGTATGGCGCACCATAAGGAGAGTATGGCGCACCATAAGGAGAGTATGGCGCACCATAAGGAGAGTATGGCGCACCATAAGGAGAGTATGGCGCACCATAAGGAGAGTATGGCGCACCATAAGGAGAGTATGGCGCACCATAAGGAGAGTATGGCGCACCATAAGGAGAGTATGGCGCACCATAAGGAGAGTATGGCGCACCATAAGGAGAGTATGGCGCACCATAAGGAGAGTATGGCGCACCATAAGGAGAGTATGGCGCACCATAAGGAGAGTATGGCGCACCATAAGGAGAGTATGGCGCACCATAAGGAGAGTATGGCGCACCATAAGAGAGTATGGCGCACCATAAGGAGAGTATGGCGCACCATAAGGAGAGTATGGCGCACCATAAGATGAGTATGGCGCACCATAAGGAGAGTATGGCGCACCATAAGGAGAGTATGGCGCACCATAAGGAGAGGTATGGCGCACCATAAGGAGAGTTATGGCGCACCATAAGGAGAGTATGGCGCACCATAAGGAGAGTATGGCGCACCATAAGGAGGAGTATGGCGCACCATAAGGAGAGTATGGCGCACCATAAGGAGGAGTTATGGCGCACCATAAGGAGAGTATGGCGCACCATAAGGAGAGTATGGCGCACCATAAGGAGAGTATGGCGCACCATAAGGAGAGTATGGCGCACCATAAGGAGAGTATGGCGCACCATAAGGAGAGTATGGCGCACCATAAGGAGAGTATGGCGCACCATAAGGAGAGTATGGCGCACCATAAGGAGAGTATGGCGCACCATAAGGAGAGTATGGCGCACCATAAGGAGAGTATGGCGCACCATAAGGAGAGTATGGCGCACCATAAGGAGAGTATGGCGCACCATAAGGAGAGTATGGCGCACCATAAGGAGAGTATGGCGCACCATAAGGAGAGTATGGCGCACCATAAGGAGAGTATGGCGCACCATAAGGAGAGTATGGCGCACCATAAGGAGAGTATGGCGCACCATAAGGAGAGTATGGCGCACCATAAGGAGAGTATGGCGCACCATAAGGAGAGTATGGCGCACCATAAGGAGAGTATGGCGCACCATAAGGAGAGTATGGCGCACCATAAGGAGAGTATGGCGCACCATAAGGAGAGTATGGCGCACCATAAGGAGAGTATGGCGCACCATAAGGAGAGTATGGCGCACCATAAGGAGAGTATGGCGCACCATAAGGAGAGTATGGCGCACCATAAGGAGAGTATGGCGCACCATAAGGAGAGTATGGCGCACCATAAGGAGAGTATGGCGCACCATAAGGAGAGTATGGCGCACCATAAGGAGAGGATGGCGCACCATAAGGAGAGTATGGCGCACCATAAGGAGAGTATGGCGCACCATAAGGAGAGTATGGCGCACCATAAGGAGAGTATGGCGCACCATAAGGAGAGTATGGCGCACCATAAGGAGAGTATGGCGCACCATAAGGAGAGTATGGCGCACCATAAGGGAGAGTATGGCGCACCATAAGGAGAGTATGGCGCACCATAAGGAGAGTATGGCGCACCATAAGGAGAGTATGGCGCACCATAAGGAGAGTATGGGCGCACCATAAGGAGAGTATGGCGCACCATAAGGAGAGTATGGCGCACCATAAGGAGAGTATGGCGCACCATAAGGAGAGTATGGCGCACCATAAGGAGAGTATGGCGCACCATAAGGAGAGTATGGCGCACCATAAGGAGAGTATGGCGCACCATAAGGAGAGTATGGCGCACCATAAGGAGAGTATGGCGCACCATAAGGAGAGTATGGCGCACCATAAGGAGAGTATGGCGCACCATAAGGAGAGTATGGCGCACCATAAGGAGAGTATGGCGCACCATAAGGAGAGTATGGCGCACCATAAGGAGAGTATGGCGCACCATAAGGAGAGTATGGCGCACCATAAGGAGAGTATGGCGCACCATAAGGAGAGTATGGCGCACCATAAGGAGAGTATGGCGCACCATAAGGAGAGTATGGCGCACCATAAGGAGAGTATGGCGCACCATAAGGAGAGGATGGCGCACCATAAGGAGAGTATGGCGCACCATAAGGAGAGTATGGCGCACCATAAGGAGAGTATGGCGCACCATAAGGAGAGTATGGCGCACCATAAGGAGAGTATGGCGCACCATAAGGAGAGTATGGCGCACCATAAGGAGAGTATGGCGCACCATAAGGAGAGTATGGCGCACCATAAGGAGAGTATGGCGCACCATAAGGAGAGTATGGCGCACCATAAGGAGAGTATGGCGCACCATAAGGAGAGTATGGCGCACCATAAGGAGAGTATGGCGCACCATAAGGAGAGTATGGCGCACCATAAGGAGAGTATGGCGCACCATAAGGAGAGTATGCGCACCATAAGGAGAGTATGGCGCACCATAAGGAGAGGATGGCGCACCATAAGGAGAGTATGGCGCACCATAAGGAGAGTATGGCGCACCATAAGGAGAGTATGGCGCACCATAAGGAGAGTATGGCGCACCATAAGGAGAGTATGGCGCACCATAAGGAGAGTATGGCGCACCATAAGGAGAGTATGGCGCACCATAAGGAGAGTATGGCGCACCATAAGGAGAGTATGGCGCACCATAAGGAGAGTATGGCGCACCATAAGGAGAGTATGGCGCACCATAAGGAGAGTATGGCGCACCATAAGGAGAGTATGGCGCACCATAAGGAGAGTATGGCGCACCATAAGGAGAGTATGGCGCACCATAAGGAGAGTATGGCGCACCATAAGGAGAGTATGGCGCACCATAAGGAGAGTATGGCGCACCATAAGGAGAGTATGGCGCACCATAAGGAGAGTATGGCGCACCATAAGGAGAGTATGGCGCACCATAAGGAGAGTATGGCGCACCATAAGGAGAGTATGGCGCACCATAAGGAGAGTATGGCGCACCATAAGGAGAGTATGGCGCACCATAAGGAGAGTATGGCGCACCATAAGGAGAGTATGGCGCACCATAAGGAGAGTATGGCGCACCATAAGGAGAGTATGGCGCACCATAAGGAGAGTATGGCGCACCATAAGGAGAGTATGGCGCACCATAAGGAGAGTATGGCGCACCATAAGGAGAGTATGGCGCACCATAAGGAGAGTATGGCGCACCATAAGGAGAGTATGGCGCACCATAAGGAGAGTATGGCGCACCATAAGGAGAGTATGGCGCACCATAAGGAGAGTATGGCGCACCATAAGGAGAGTATGGCGCACCATAAGGAGAGTATGGCGCACCATAAGGAGAGTATGGCGCACCATAAGGAGAGTATGGCGCACCATAAGGAGAGTATGGCGCACCATAAGGAGAGTATGGCGCACCATAAGGAGAGTATGGCGCACCATAAGGAGAGTATGGCGCACCATAAGGAGAGTATGGCGCACCATAAGGAGAGTATGGCGCACCATAAGGAGAGTATGGCGCACCATAAGGAGAGTATGGCGCACCATAAGGAGAGGATGGCGCACCATAAGGAGAGTATGGCGCACCATAAGGAGAGTATGGCGCACCATAAGGAGAGTATGGCGCACCATAAGGAGAGTATGGCGCACCATAAGGAGAGTATGGCGCACCATAAGGAGAGGATGGCGCACCATAAGGAGAGTATGGCGCACCATAAGGAGAGTATGGCGCACCATAAGGAGAGTATGGCGCACCATAAGGAGAGTATGGCGCACCATAAGGAGAGTATGGCGCACCATAAGGAGAGTATGGCGCACCATAAGGAGAGTATGGCGCACCATAAGGAGAGTATGGCGCACCATAAGGAGAGTATGGCGCACCATAAGGAGAGTATGGCGCACCATAAGGAGAGTATGGCGCACCATAAGGAGAGTATGGCGCACCATAAGGAGAGTATGGCGCACCATAAGGAGAGTATGGCGCACCATAAGGAGAGTATGGCGCACCATAAGGAGAGTATGGCGCACCATAAGGAGAGTATGGCGCACCATAAGGAGAGTATGGCGCACCATAAGGAGAGTATGGCGCACCATAAGGAGAGTATGGCGCACCATAAGGAGAGTATGGCGCACCATAAGGAGAGTATGGCGCACCATAAGGAGAGTATGGCGCACCATAAGGAGAGTATGGCGCACCATAAGGAGAGTATGGCGCACCATAAGGAGAGTATGGCGCACCATAAGGAGAGTATGGCGCACCATAAGGAGAGTATGGCGCACCATAAGGAGAGGATGGCGCACCATAAGGAGAGGATGGCGCACCATAAGGAGAGTATGGCGCACCATAAGGAGAGTATGGCGCACCATAAGGAGAGTATGGCGCACCATAAGGAGAGTATGGCGCACCATAAGGAGAGTATGGCGCACCATAAGGAGAGTATGGCGCACCATAAGGAGAGTATGGCGCACCATAAGGAGAGTATGGCGCACCATAAGGAGAGTATGGCGCACCATAAGGAGAGTATGGCGCACCATAAGGAGAGTATGGCGCACCATAAGGAGAGTATGGCGCACCATAAGGAGAGTATGGCGCACCATAAGGAGAGTATGGCGCACCATAAGGAGAGTATGGCGCACCATAAGGAGAGTATGGCGCACCATAAGGAGAGTATGGCGCACCATAAGGAGAGTATGGCGCACCATAAGGAGAGTATGGCGCACCATAAGGAGAGTATGGCGCACCATAAGGAGAGTATGGCGCACCATAAGGAGAGTAGGGGAGGGGAGGCGCAGCATGAGAGGATGGCGCATACCATGAGAAGGTCGCTGACGGCTTGGGGGTTGGACGACGAGGGCGCGCCGGGCAGCACTGGGTGGCGGCGCACTGAGGCCGGGGGAAAGGGCGGCAGGTGCTCTGCAGGACACGGAGAGAGAGGGGTTGGGGGCGGATGGGGAGGGGCGGATTGGGTGAGAGAGAATAACGAATAACGGTGAGGCGTGGGTGAGAATGAGAAAGAGCAGTGAGAATGGAGAGAGACAACACGGAGTGTACGAGAGAGAAAGTGGGGCCGGATGGAAACTGTGAGTGTAAGGGCGGAAGGAGAGCAAGAGAGATGGGTGGGTGAAGGCAACTCACTCATGAGCTCGTCCACATCCACGTCCATGTCCCCCACACCACGCCCTTCCCTCGCCACCTTCTCCCTCTCACCATCCTCTCCTTCCCCTTCCTCCTCGTCACACTCGCCCTCTCCGCCCCTGAGCGCGCCAGCAGCCAGCTGCAGTTCCAGCTGCCGGTCGTCCACCAGCTGCAGGGCTGCGCGCGCTGCCTGCCGCGCCTTGGCCCTCTCCGCCTGCACTCGCTCCCTCGCCGCCTCCCGCGCCCGCCTCTGCTCCTCCCGCCGTTGCCGCCTCGCCACCTGCGTTGAGGAGGGCGGGCGGGATAATAGAGAGTGAGGGTCCGGTGGAAGGGGAGTGGAGAGAGGGGCGGGGTGAACGTGGGGGGTGTCTGCGTGGGGAGGAAGGCACACAGGAGCGGAGGGAGGGTGAAAAAAGGGCAAATGCACAGTGCCTGCACAGTGCCTGCGCCACTTGTCTCCTTCTCGCCCTCGCTGCTTGCCACCGCTGCCGTGCCGCTTCCCCACCCCCAGCAAGTGAAAGGGGAAGTGAGTGAAGGTGCAAGGCAGAATCGATGGGCGACACAGACACAATGAGGAGGTGGCGCGGGGGGTGCCGCTCAGCTGAGCGGGCACGGCGCACAAGAGGCACGCAGCTCACCTGAATGCTCTCCTTCATTTGCTCGCGCGCCTGCCGCTCCTCCTCCCGCTTCTTCTCCCGAACCATCCTCTCTCGCTCCTTCTCCCGCTCCCGCGCCTCCCTCTCCTCCTCGCGCTGCCGCTCCCTCGCCTCCCTCGCTTGCTCCTTGTGCCTCTCCCGCTCCTCCCTCTCCTCCTCCCGCCGCCGCCGCTCCTCTGCCCGCCGTGCCGCCTCCTGCATCTGTTGCAACAAGCATACCACAAACCAGCAGCACAGCACAGAACCAGGTCAGAGGCGGCAACACAACAAAAGATGAACGACAATGGAAAAAAACAACACAAAACACAAATTTTCCAAGCTTTACCCAACCTCACCCCTTCCCCTCTCCCTCTCCCCCCCCTTTCCCCTCTCCCTCCCCCCCTTCTTTCCCCTCTCCCTTTCCCACCCCCTGTCATTGCAGTGCCCCCAGCAGCCTGGGGAGCCCACCTTGCGATGGGCCGTCTCCTGCCTCTCCGCCTCGCGCCTCACGCGCTTCTCCTGCTGCTGCTGCTCCTTGCGCACCCGCCCCTCCTCCCCCTGCTGCCCCCCCGCCACGCACACCACACAAGGCACAGCGGCAGGCATGCAGCAGAGCAGCGCACAACGATGAGCACGAGGGAGGGTTGGCAGCCGGGAGGAAGCATGTTGGGGGGGCACGGAACAGCACTAGACTGGCTGTTTGGAAGGCCGGAAAAGCAGCCATTGATGCCTGGCACAGGCATGAAGCACAGGCTGGCACACAAGTGGGCCCAACGTTGGGAGGAGTGTTCTACCCTGCAAGTAACCTTGCTCACCTTCTTCCTCTTTGTGCCGCTCTGCTTCGCCCCGTCCCCTGCCGACTCGCCTCGCTGTGACCCCTCCGCCTCCTCCTCACCACCCCCCATGGTCCCTTGTACCACCCCAACACCGCCATCAATGCCAGCTGCTCCCCGTCGCCTCTTGTTCCCAGGCCTCTCCTCGCTTCCTCTCTCCCTGCATTGCCGTGACTCCTCATGCCAAGCCTCCTCCCCTTCCTCCTCCTCCTCCCCCTCATCCTCCTCTTCCTCCTCGTCCTCCTCCTCCTCTTCCTCCTCTTCTTCCTCTGTCGGTTCAACATCCCTACCCCCCACTCCCATCCCCCCGCCCTTCTTCCCTTCCCACAACCCTTCAACCTCACCCTCTAACCTACCGACTAATCTCATACCACCGTTCTCCACACCTGTTCCCTGATTCCTCACTCCGCATTCGCGTCCACTCGCCTGTCCCCCCTTCTCCACGCCTCTACTCCCGCAAACCACCATGCTCCCACCCGCTCCTCCTCTGCCCTTCTCCCCAATGCCATTCATCGCACCCTTCCCTCCCCCAGCACCAAAGCCCGGCGACCCCGAGGCAGCAGCAGTGAGCAGGTGCAGCAGGTCCGTCCCCTCCTCCCCACTGCCCTTCTCCTCTACCATCGCCTCCTCCTCCTGCTCGTGCCCCTCCTCTTGCTCCTCCTGCTTCATCCGCCCCTCCCTGCCTGCAGCACCGGCGACCCGACTATCAGCCGCAGCGCTGCCAGCTGTGGAAGGGTGCGGAGCCCCGTTAGCAGCGGCAGCAGCTGGAGCGGGCGTGGCAGGTGCGGCAGGTGTGGCACCGTGCAGCGCCCCATTGGCAGCGGCAGAGGTGGGGAGCGCGTGTGACGGCCCCAGCACGTGCAGGGGAGGGCGGGTGGCAGTGATCGTGGACGCCTGCGGGGGGACAGGGGGGGCGCAACCAATGGGGCCGTGGTTGGAAAGCAAGGACGGCGCGCCCAGGGGCCAAGGAGCAGGCATGACATGAAGGAGCAGGCATGACATGAAGGAGCAGGCATGACATGAAGGAGCAGGCATGACATGAAGGAGCAGGCATGACATGAAGGAGCAGGCATGACATGAAGGAGAAGGCCAGGACGGGATACAGCATGACATGGAGAAGGTGGGAAGGCAGTGCTGGCTCTGGGCTGCTCCATGCCTCGCAGATGACAGGGAGGGGAGGGTGCAGGGGAGAGAATTAGAGGGGAGGAAAGGCAGAGAGAGCGAAAATCACAGGCGGCAGATGCGATGAGAGGCAGGAGAGAGGAGCAGCAGGGAGGCATGAGAGCAACAGGGAGGCATGAGAGCAGCAGGGAGGCATGAGAGCAGCAGGGAGGCATGAGAGCAGCAGGGAGGCATGAGAGCAGCAGGGAGGCATGAGAGCAGCAGGGAGGCATGAGAGCAAGAGCGAGGCATGAGAGCAGCAGGGAGGCATGAGAGCAAGAGCGAGGCATGAGAGCAAGAGCGAGGCATGAGAGCAAGAGCGAGGCATGAGAGCAAGAGCGAGGCATGAGAGCAAGAGCGAGGCATGAGAGCAAGAGCGAGGCATGAGAGCAAGAGCGAGGCATGAGAGCAACAGCGAGGCACGTGAACAAGGCCTTGCCCTCACCTCAGCTGCCCCATGCAGCCCCTCTCCAGTCTGTCCCTCCCTGCCCTGTCCCCCCATCCCCTTCCCCTCACTGCCCTCGCCTGCCCCCTGTTGTGGCTGGGCCGTGCCTGGACCCACCCTCGCCTTGCGCACTGCACATGCACACACGCACAGCGAGGCACGGCGGGGAGGAAAGCATTGTCACAGCACCGCATTGCACCGATCAGGACGTGTGTGGTGCTGCATGGAGGGATTTGAAGCAGGCACAGATGTCGTGGTGCACGTCTTGGGAGGGATAAACAAGCAGGGAGTGGCAAGAGCGGGCAAGGGAGAGGCATCGCACCAACAGCGAGGTTGAAGCGCAGGGCGGGCACGGGGTCAAAGGCAGCACTTAGTGGCGGCCCTTCCCACCGGTACTCGCCTCCCATGCCCCTCCTCACCCTCTCCACCGCCTCCTCGTCCTCGTCCTCCCCCTCCTCCTCCTCGCCGCCTGCCGCCCACTCCATGCTCCCATCCTGCCTTCTCCAGCTGCTCTGCTCACTCTGCCATGCCGCTGAGCTGGCATCTGCTGATTGGCCGTTGGCAACGCCACCTGGCGCACTGCTTGCAGGAGGGTATGCGTCAGACGGCGCCCCTTGCTCCTCCACACCCTTCCGCGCACCCCCTTCTGCCCCTAATCTGCCTACCGCCCCCCCTGCGCCTTGTGCGCCCTGCACACCCCTCCCCATTGCGCCCCCTGTGCCCTCCCTGCCACTCCCAGGGATCCGGGGTGTGGTGCGTGCGCACGCCACAGCACCAGAACCCGCTGCACCAGGACCAACCAAGCCGGCACCCAACACTGCACCTCCAGCAGCAGCAGCGCCACTCACGGCAGCACTGGCGTGACCAGCGCCACGAGCGCCAGAGCAGGCGAGGCCCGCGCCAGCGCCCCCAGCCCTGGCGTCGTGCTGCTCCTCCAGCTCCTCGTGCGCCATCAGCCCTGACATCCCCGCGCCCCCCCCCTCCCTCTGCGCCCTGCCCGCGCCCACCACTGACAGCTTCCGCACGCCCCCCGCGTTCCACCACACGTACCCCTCCCCCGCCCTCCCCTCGCCCCCCCTGCCACACGCATCGGCAGAATCCGCAGGGACAGGCGGGAGGGGCGTGGCGGGTACAGGCGCGGGGGCGAGGGGGCGGCCAAAGAGGACGGGAGACGCGCCAGGGGGGGCGGGGAGAGTTTTAGCGGGGAGGGCGGGGATGCGGAACACGCCCGCACGCGCCGCCGCGCCGGGGGCTGCGTCCGTGGAGAGCGCGCGTCCCGCAAGGGGGCTGCTCACGCGCGAACTGCCCCCAGGCTGCTCTGCCCCCTCCTCCGCATTCACATCGCCGCCCATCCTAGGCGCCGCCAGTGACTCCGCTGCGTCGGATCCACCACCGCCGGCGGCGGCGGCGGCGGCGGCGGTGATGGAGAAAGGGGTGGTGAGGCCAGGTCGTGCGAGGCCTTGGCCCAGCGGGCCGGCGGTGCGCGGGAATGCGGTGGCGGGCGGCTTGGGCACGGCGGAGGCGGAGGCGGCGACGGAGTTCTCGAGGATGCGGTCCTTGCGGCGGCGGTGCGAGAACCACATCTGCAGCTGGCGGTCCGTGAGCGCCAGCTCCGCGCACAGCGACGCGCGCAGGTCGTCCGACGGGTACTTGTGCACTGCGCGGGACGGGTGGCGGGATAGAGGGGGTGCGGAAGGGCGAGGAAAAACAAAAGTGATTTCTATGGTTGACGGACAATGATTCGCGAGTTGCTTGCACGTGACGAGACCTCTCTGTACACGTGTCTGGCGGAACAAGAATCGCGACCACTCTCACCAAATACCAAATTTTTTTCACCAGCTAAATGGATCCTACTGTGTAAAGTACTGATCGAAAGCTTCAAGAAGGAACACAAGCTTGAGAGTGGCGGAAATAGAGTGCTACGACGAGTGAGTATTTACCAGCGAAGACCTCTTCCAATCTCTCCAGCTGCACCGGTGTTTTGCGGATCTTCCTCTGCTTCCCGGACCCCGATAATTGGCTACTTGAATCGTCGCCGTCCATCGCGACTACTTTGTTTTACTGGCGACGTGCCGATGGGATTGACGCTGGCTTTCCAAGGGTAAAAAACTGTCCTATTTCGAAAACCGCTCAGCTACTTGCATTCCTTCTTTCGCGAATATTCTCGTAGAACAGCTTCACTTGAAGAGCTTCACTCTAAATAACGACTGCTCGCCCTTCGAAGGCCTGTATGTGTGAAAAAACGCAGCTCCATTGCTAAAAGTTGCGAAACCCTCGCCTGGAAAACCGAGCTTTGAGCATTTTGATGATCAGAAGTGGCTGGATGCGAATGCATGAAGCGAGGGTTCTCAGCATCACAGCAGATTGGATTGAAGCACAACGAGCAGCGGAACGGGTTGGATGCACAAGGCTGGTCAGGTTTGCCTGTATCACCTCATCTTCGCTATGTCCATCGACGGCTGTTATTTGTTGTTGATTTGCTTCTCAGCTCATCGTGTCCTCTGATTTGAATAGGAGCATGATCGCGGCCGCTGATCTTCAAATGCCCCATCTCTCACCCTGGTCACTCATTCGGTTTGCACTGCTCCAACAAACATCCTACGCGTCGCCGTTTGCCTGACTGACGGAAATAGACGAGAATGGCAGGACCAAACATCGACAACACCAAAACACGCAAACGAGGTTCGTCACTGGTAACCAGCCTCCAGACCTCCGCGAGAGTCACCCGCCAGCCCAGGTTTCACGAAATGTATCGCAAATGTGACGGATGCATGGGGACGGCAATTGGGGACAATAAAAAATGTTGGGAGGGAAACGCTGTGTGGTGAACCTCACAGCCCAGCAATTGCCGAGATTGTCACCTCCGATCTCTCACCAAGACCTCAGCCATTCACCTATCGCTGACTTTTGCTGTTGAGGGTTCATTGCTGTCGCGCAGACTTCCCCAGCAACCTTGTTAGCCTTAGTTCCGTTGCATCTTATCAGCTAGTCAGAATGGCTGCTGCATCACCGATCGCTCAGCTGTCAGACGATATACTCTCCATTATCCTGCATCTCGTCGGTCGATCCGACGGTCAGTTTCAGCACGCGCTTGTGTGCAAGAAATGGCATCGCATCGCACGTAGCGTGCACGACCACATTCAAATTCGCGAAGAGCGTCGCATGCGTCCTCGCGAGCTGCTCGCGCACCTCTCGTCATTCCCAAGGCTCCGAAAGCTCGTCCTCGACGTCCGCAGCATCACGTCCGTCCCTGACTTCTTCCTCTCGCGGATTGCCGACACGTGTCCAGATCTGACGGACCTCCACGTCCATTCGATGACAGGAGAGTACGGAGTACGCAGGGGATTCACCGAGAGCGGACTTTCGTATCTCCTAGAGAAGTGCACACGGCTGGAGGAACTTCATCTTAAAAACGATCCGGATCTGACCTCCATTCCTCCGTCAATCGGCGGCCTTGCGTCACTCAAAAGCCTTCACATCAGCGACAGCAGAGGAATCGCTCGCCTACCAGATGAGTTCACGTCGTTACCGGCACTCGCGCATCTCGTGATTGAACTGCCCGGCCTGCATGAACTGCCTCAGGGCTTCGGCAATCTGACGCTGCTCAAGTCTCTCCGGCTGAAACGCTGCGAGCGTCTAGATTCCATTCCCGATTCTTTGGGGCAGCTTACCAACTTGACGCATCTTTCCATCGAGAGCTCCATGAGGCTTCAGCTGCCCGAATCCATCTCCGACCTCTCATCGCTTCTAGACTTCGAAATTTCCGACTGCCACGACCTTTCACCGCTGCCCGAGAGTTTTGGAAACCTGCCGGCGCTTGAAACCCTACGTTTGGAGAACGTGGGGGGGATTACCGACCTGCCCGCCAGTCTCGGGCAGCTGCAGCGGCTGCGGATTCTTTCCGTAATCTACTGCCGCAATATGGTCTCCTTCCCTATTTTCCTTTCCCAATTGACTTCTCTAACGGACCTTATCCTCGCCGACCTAAAACTCCAACATCTGCCTCACGACGTCGCTCTCCTCCCACGCCTACGCACGCTCAAGCTAGACGTTGGCATGGCCGTGCAGCTGCATCCCTCCGTATACCTTGCCACCGCACTCAAAGAGCTCACGATTGAAAATTCTAAAACGCCACATTCTCTGCCCGAGGAATTCGGGCAGCTGACTGCCCTGGAGGCCCTGCACCTGGTTGAGCTTTCCGAGCTCACCAGCCTGCCCGCATCGCTTGGCGACCTGACGAGCCTCAAGGAGCTGAAAATAGCCGAGTGCAGCCAGCTGGCGCAGCTTCCAGACTCCCTGACTCGGCTTTCTTCCCTCGAGCTGCTGGACATCAGTCACTGCTGCAAGCTGACAGCGCTACCGCAGGGCATGGGGGATGGTCTGCATAGCCTGCGCCGACTGATTCTCGAATGCACGGCTCTCACCCACCTCCCTCCCTCCTTCTCCAACCTCTCCTCCCTCGAAACCCTAAGCATCTGTGATGCACCCCGCTTACGAGGTGCGCTACCAGGCGGATTCTCCCACTTGACAAGCCTCAAGGAGCTCACTCTCTCCTCCCTGCCGCACCTGCGTGCCCTGCTTGCCTCCCTCGCTGCCATCGGCCGTTCTCTCACCAGCCTCGAGCTGCTCGGCGGCATGCACATCACGGCGCTGCCAGAGGAGATCGGACGGCTGGAAGCGCTCGAGAAGCTCAAGCTCTCAAAACTATCTTCCTTGAAGTCGCTCCCGCGCTCGCTGTGTCAGCTGCAGCGGTTGAAATCTCTGGAAGTGGAATCCTGCGGCGCCATGGAGTCGTTGTTTGGGGATGCACACACGGGGGATGCACACACGGGGGATGCACACACGGGGGATGCACACACGGGGGATGCACACACGGGGGATGCACACACGGGGGATGCACACACGGGAGATGCACACACGGGGGATACACACACGGGAGCTGCCGGGCATGACCTTGCGAGGAGAATCACCCGCCTCGAGTTAGCCGGTCACACGGGTAGCAGCAGTGCCGCTGGCAGCTGTGGGGGATCCGAGGAGAGTGACACGGGTGTGTTGCTTCCTTCTCTTGAGAGCCTTGAGCTTGTGGCCCTTCCACTGCAGCAGCTCAGTCCATTGCTGGGCTGCTTCTCGTCGCTAACGAGCCTGCGAATCTTCCAAATGGATCGGCTCCGCTCACTGCCAGACTCCATCACTCGCCTCTCTCGCTTGCAGTCTCTCAGGATCTTGTTTGCGGAAAGCCTGGTAGCTCTGCCCGAGGCAATAGGGAAGCTCTCAGCACTCACAACCCTCAGACTGGACGATCTCCTGGCCTTGACTGCTCTCCCAGAGTCGCTCGGGCAGCTGAACAAACTTCAATCTCTCTTTATTGACAACAGCCCAGGCCTAACCAGCCTTCCCGAATTCTTTACTGATCTCTGCAGACTGGAGCGGTGCTTTTTGGAAAGGCTCGGCATTTCGTGCCTTCCAGATGACTTTGGGAAGCTATCTGCTTTGAAACAAGTCGATCTGTGGCTACCCGAACTCCGCAGCCTGCCCGAATCGTTTTCGCAGCTGCCAGCACTGGAGGATTTATTCCTGTACGAGTGCTTGCTGCTGGCTGAGTTACCCTCGGGCCTTCGGCAGATGGGGAAGCTGGAGGCATGCCGTGTAATGAACTGCCCGCTGCTGTCGTCTAGAGAGAGTGTGTTGATTACCAGTACAGCGTATCAGGACGAGGGAGGGTATGAGGGCGAAGAGGATGACTCTGACGATGAGGATGACTCGGGGGAGGAGGAGGAGGAGGAGGAGGAGGAGGAGGAGGAGGAGGAGGAGGAGGAGGAGGAGGAGGAGGAGGGGGTGATTGGAGGGGAGGGGAGTGAAGGGTAGGGGAGCAGGGAAAAGAGACGGAGTGTGGTGACCTACGGTACGGTACAGCACACCTGGACGAGGGAGAGCGGGCAGCGCGTGGCTTGGAGGAAGACGATGAAGGGGAAATGCGGATGGGGGAGGTGGATGAGGGGAGCAAAGGCGAGGAAAGCGAAGGCTAAGGGAGTGAGGAAAGTGGGGGAGGAGGTGGAATGAGATGGAGATGAGGAGGAAGTGGAAGGCAAGGATGGGGAGGTGAGGGAGGGGAAGCTGAGGAGATGGAAGAGGAGGATTTGGAGGATGAATAGGACGTAGGGTGAGGTGGCTTTTAATGTCATTTCAACCATTTGTCTTTCAGTGTCATTTCAAGCATGCGGCTTTGTTCAAGTGCTATTCCTTCTGTGTTGGCAGAGCACGTGTTGCATTTGGGCTTCTGGTCAATGTGCTGTCAACCTGGTTAGGTTGCACAGTTTTTGATTTCATACTTAAGTCGATGGTGCAGCCAATCAGAGGTTTCAACCAACCTTATTGCATAGTGTCATCAAATTCCAATCCTGTCCCATCCTTCCCAACTCATATGCGATCTACCTAGATGAGTTGCACCATGCTTCTTAAGTTGGTTGGTGTGGCACTTGACTAATTTCCCTCCCCTCCCCCTTTTTCTTCCAGTACACCTTCCCCTCTCATTCTCCCTCATATTCCCCCTCTCCCTCTTATTCCCCCTCTCCCTCCTGTCCCCCTTCCCCCTGCCATTTCTCCTCCCCCCACCCCTCTCCCCCCCCCTCTCCCCCTCCGCATACCGTTATGAGGTGGCTGGTCAAGGCACATGGCTGTATGGGTTCACGTTTGATTCTAGTTTTTTCAGAACTCTCATGTTCACCCACCATGCCCCCATCCCCTCCGTGATCCGCCGTGCATGCATGCCTGCAGTGTCTGGTGGAGTGGAGGTGTATGGCTGTGTGGGTTCAGGTTGCTGTCACTCGTCATGGAACTCTCAGTGTGATGAGAAATAAGAATGACTACAATTGAAACATACACAAAATATACTTTGACACAGTGTGCCCCTTCCCCATTCCGCCCATGCGCATCGTATCTCACTCATTCCTGCTTCGTCGTGCCTCCCACGTTCTCTCCAGCATCAACACCCCCTCTCTCTGCACACACACGCACACCAGGCGACCATGAAGCTGCAGGCTGCAGGGCATCAATATCATCATGTGCTCGCACGAAGCTCGGTCTCTTTGCCTCTCTGTCGCCTTTTCTATTCTACCCTCGCAAGCCTGCCCCACACACACCAGTCGACGGTGGAGCTGGGGTGTCAAGGGCGCGTGGTCGCATACACACTCGCCCTCCCCATCTCCGCGCCTCCCTATTCCCCTTACTGTGCTGCCTTCCCACCCTGTGCCACACACCAGGCAACGGTGGAGCTGGAGGGCATCAAGGCCATGTGGTCGCTGCGGCGCGGCACGTGGGACTTGCACGACACGACACGTTGCTGGTGGTGACGTTTGTGAGCGAGATGAGACGCGGTGGGTCGCTGGACATCAACGATGACGACGAGCTCCACGAGACCCACGTGCTCGCCTTCCATCAGCACGCCGAGCCCACGCGCTCATCCTCTTCTGTTCTTGGGAACGTGCTGCACGGCCAGATCGTGCAGGTGCGTGGTGTGGGTAGTGCGCATGGGTGGGTGGGAGGCCCTTGTTCCTTGTTGCTCACGCCCATGATTGTCGAGACCGATGTGCTCGGTATCAATTCACACAGTTGTGGGAGTGTTGTTCAGGACACCGCAGCAGGCGAAAGAGTGGAGGGCTACCCGCCCCTGCTTCCCCCACACTCAACTCCTCTCGAACCCTTCTCAACCGTCAAACACCCACTTCCACCACCGTGCACCACCCTCCGGGTTACATCATTGGAGCTGCGGCTGGTGAACGAGAGCCCCGCTTCCCCCAGACTCAACCCCGCTTAACACCTTGTCAACCCTCGCGCACCCGCACCACCACTCCCCAGGTGACGTCATTGGAGCTGCGGCTGGTGAATGCACACACGCTGCAGCAGGTGACCGAGTGGCGGGCGCCGGCAGGCGCATCCATCAACGTCGCCACCGCTAAGGGGATGCTTGTTTGCTCTCTCAGGTATGCATCTCGGTCATTGCGAGTCAACTGGAATCAGAAGGGAATGGCCTTTGAGGTGGTTATCTCCAACCTCTCTCAGGCGTGCTCCTGAGTGGATGGGTCAGTGAAAGTCAACGGGAGTCAACGGGATTCAGAGGGGAATGTTTCAGGATTGCCCATCCGTGTGACCTGAGCTTTCCTCTCACAGGAGAGGTGAAACTCTGGTTAACTCGCCAACTCAACTCTTCAAAGCTCGCAACTCAACATCAGTTTCTTCCAGTGGGAACCGTGACCATGTGCCTGGGCACGGCAGCACCTTTGATCCCACACAGCCTGGCACAGAAGGCGACCTGGCAATGGCAGCAAAAATGGCTATCGTTATTTTGTCTCAGATATCATTCACCCCACGTCTCCCCTCCCACCTCCGAAACCCTCACAGCCTAGCACTGGAAAAGGAAGGAGGCGCTGCTGCAGCCTGCCGCCTGCTAAATGCCCGCTGCCCGCTGCAGCCTGCCGCCCGCTAAATGCCCCGCTAAATGCCTGTGCGCGCTGAGCACTCAGCCCACCGCCGCCAGCTACAGCCTGTCAATCTATATTGTATGTTATATATATATGCATATACTTATAGGCTAGACTAGGGTTTATCTCTTAGAGGGTATAACATTTCAATTTGTTCTCGACTTTCTCGAGTGCACTTTTTCTCCTCGACATGGTATATAGCTAGGTTAGGTTATTCCGCAACGCTAAGTTACTCTCCGATTTCCTAGCCAGTTCTAGCTAAGTTACCTCGAAATCGCCCTACTGCCCGGTCCCCTAAGCCGCCCAGCTGTTCCTTTTCCTCGTGCACCACGTGGCGTCGTTCCCTAGTGGGCCCCGCGGCCTCTTGTTCCTTAGCGCGCCCCGTCGCCTAGAGTGTGCTGCTGAGTGCTCAGCGCGCCGCGCTGCCTCGTAGCCCCTCGCGCGCCACTACGCTCCCACGCTGCGCGCCCTGCTGCGTCGTCCTCCGACGCGCCCCGACGACCCCTTCCGAGCAGCAACAGTCCATTGCCGCCACTGCAGCTAGCCGCCGCCTCTGCAGCCTGTCACCGCCGCTGCAGCTATTGCCGCCGCTCGTTGTAGTGTTTTGCCTAGACAGGGCAATCTTCGTTCCGTCACTCAATTGCACTCCGTGTTTTCCAAAGAGTATGGTTTCACCGTGCCGTGTTCTGCACTTCCAAGTTCCAGATGAGCACAATACATGGGTAGATGGATCATGTTTCGACCTAGGAGGGGGATCTGACTTCACCATGGCGCGTTCCTACTCGATCATGTTTCTCTTCTGAGTCGACTCAAAAGGCATTTCGACCTTGAAGGGGGCTCTCACTTCATCATGGCGCTTTCCACCTCGATCATGTTTCTCTTCTCCAAGAAGCATCGCCACTTAGTGCCAATCCCCGCGCCGCGTCCCGCATCATCCTCCACAAACCTCGCTGTGGGTGGCGGCGCAACGAAGCGGTCATTCTGTATGCGGAGAGGAGCGCGTCACGGCTCCCCCGCAGCCGCACAACCCGCTGTTCGGACCGCCGCACCTGAAGCGCTCACCATCTTAGCGCGCACTTTCGAGTATCGCCTGGCTAGAGGGTCGAGCATTGGTCTCCGCGCGACCAGCAAGCTCGAAGCGCGGTGGCGGAGATGGCACGGAGGGGATGCGGGTGCTGCAGCGGCGGCGCTGACGATGCGTTGTGGTGGGCGGTGGGACAGTCCCGCACAGCCGCAGGGAGTGCGCGGGGACGTGGCGTATGGGGGGTCCGCGATGGCGCATGTGATGCGCCCGTGGTCACCATGTTGCGTGCCATTCCTGCCTGCTGCCCGCCTCCAGCATCCCGTGTCCGCGCCTGACGCTGTGGGTGGTGGCGACGATAGCAGCCTTGGCGCCTGCAGCAGCAACGTCAGCAGCAGCAGCAGCAGTGGTAGTGAGGCAGAGGCGTCTGATCCACGGCTGGAAGGCGTGCAGGTGAGGCCTATGGACCGAGGGATGCGATGAGATGGGATGGGATGCGATGAGATGGGATGGGATGGCATGGCATGGCACGGCACGGCATGGCATGGCATGGCATGGCATGGCATGGCATGGCATGGGATGGCACGGCATGGGATGGCATGGGATGGCATGGCGTGGCGTGGCGTGGCGTGGCATGGCATGGCATGGCATGGGTTGGCATGGTTTGGCATGGGTTGGCATGGTTTGGCATGGGATGGAATTGTATGACGTTAGACAAGGGGGATGCCAAGGAGTCAGTGTTGAGAGCGAATGTGAGACTGTCAGGCATCAGCGCGCGCGCATCCACATTGGTCAATCTGCTACGTCCACACGAAGCCCTGAATCCTGCATTCCGATGTGCTTATGTTGCCTGCGTACTCGTTTGTGTGCTGTGCTGTCTGGGGTTGGGGAATTGGATGGGGGGGGATGGGTGAGGGGAGGGAGAGAAGCGGGGTGGTGGTGCGAGTGGGGGAGTAGAGCAGCGCGCAGCAGGGCGGGTGACGGGCGGGCAGGCTGCAAGGCATGATGGTGATGATGCTCGGATTCATGCTGTGGAGGCTGGGGGCGCGAAGGCGGAGGAGGGGGGGGAGAAGGGGGAGGAGGAGGGGGAGGAGGAGGGGGATGAGGAGGGGGAGGAGGAGGGGGATGAGGAGGGGGAGGAGGAGGGGGATGAGGAGGGGGAGGAGGAGAGTGAGGAGGGGGGGGGGGGGAGGAGGAGGGAGAGGAAGAGGCAACGGTGAGAGACAAGGGGTGGATGAGGGAGGCAGTGGAAGAGGCACGGAGGGCAGCAGCTGCGGGGGAGGTGCCAGTGGGGGCAGTCATGGTGATGGATGATGGCGGCGCCATTGCTGCCCGCGCCCACAACCTGTGAGCCCTGCTGCTCTGCTGGTGGATAGCATGCCATGGCAGGTGGATAGCATGCCATGGCAGGTGGATAGCATGCCGTGGCAGGTGGATAGTTATGGCGCGCCATTGCATCACATAGCATGGCATGTGCACCATACTGCTGCGTCATTGCATCACATAGCATGGCATGTGCACCATACTGCTGCGTCATTGCATCACATAGCATGGCATGTGCACCATACTGCTGCGTCATTGCATCACATAGCATGGCATGTGCACCATACTGCTGCGTCATTGCATCACATAGCATGGCATGTGCACCATACTGCTGCGTCATTGCATCACATAGCATGGCATGTGCACCATACTGCTGCGTCATTGCATCACATAGCATGGCATGTGCACCATACTGCTGCGTCATTGCATCACATAGCATGGCATGTGCACCATACTGCTGCGTCATTGCATCACATAGCATGGCATGTGCACCATACTGCTGCGTCATTGCATCACATAGCATGGCATGTGCACCATACTGCTGCGTCATTGCATCACATAGCATGGCATGTGCACCATACTGCTGTGTCATTGCATCACATAGCATGGCATGTGCACCATACTGCTGCGTCATTGCATCACATAGCATGGCATGTGCACCATACTGCTGCGTCATTGCATCACATAGCATGGCATGTGCACCATACTGCTGCGTCATTGCATCACATAGCATGGCATGTGCACCATACTGCTGTGTCATTGCATCACAGAGCATGGCATGTGCACCATACTGCTGCGTCATTGCATCACATAGCATGGCATGTGCACCATACTGCTGCGTCATTGCATCACATTGCATGGCATGTGCACCATACTGCTGCGTCATTGCATCACATAGCATGGCATGTGCACCATACTGCTGCGTCATTGCATCACATAGCATGGCATGTGCACCATACTGCTGCGTCATTGCATCACATAGCATGGCATGTGCACCATACTGCTGCGTCATTGCATCACATAGCATGGCATGTGCACCATACTGCTGCGTCATTGCATCACATAGCATGGCATGTGCACCATACTGCTGCGTCATTGCTGTGAAGATTGTAAAGTGAATGATTGGTTTGATTAGGGAAAGAAAGGGCATACATAGGATGCAAGAGGAGCTTGGAAGGGAAGGGGGAATGTTGGGTGGTTGGGTAGTCCCTATGGCAACTTGCAAGGAGGAGGCATCCAACTTGCAACAAGGACCATGTGGGTTGCAAGGAGGGGGCACCCAACTTGTGGGTTGCAAAAAGGGGGTACCCAACTTGCACTTGGGGGCTCCAACACTTGTGGGTTGGATTGACACCCCAACTTGCAAGTCTACACCCCAAAGTTGGGTGTAGTCCTACAAAGCAAGCTACACCCAAAGTTGGGTGTAGCCTCAACCCCTTTTATACTTAGCATGCTATACACACATTTCTAACACAACCCCTTAGCATGGTAAGACAAGAAGGGGACAACCCCTGAATCAAGGATCGCCCGGGCGAGCAAGGCCGATGAGGCGGAGGAGAGCAGAGTGCGCAGGGCGGAGGAGGGCCTTGGTGAAGATGTCGGCCAAGTTAGCCTCGGCAGCAATCTTGCGCACAGCAATAAGGCCGCGCTGGACGAGCTCGCGGATGAAGAAATAGCGAAGTTCGATGTGCTTGGAGCGGGCGTGGTAGACAGGGTCCTGAGTGAGGTGGATCGTGCTAGCATTGTCACACCAGAGGGTGGGGCAGGGCTGAGGGGCACCAAGCTCAGCAAGAAGAAAGCAGAGCCAGCGGGATTCCTGAGCGGCCATGGTGCCAGCGTAGAGCTCGTCCTCGCATGTGGAGAGAGAAACGGAGGAGGAGCGCGTGGAGCGCCAGCTGACAAGGCCGCTGCCGAGGGTGAAGCCGTAGCCCTGAGTGGAGCGGCGGTCCGGCTGCGTGTCGGCCCAGGAGGAGTCGCTGAAGCCCGAGAGCAGGGGAGGGGAGGGGCCACCAAGAGTGAGGGCGTGGTCCTTGGTGCCGCGAAGGTAGCGGAGGACCCTCTTAGCAGCTTTCCAGTGCACCTCCGTGTGGCGACCAGTGCCAACAAAGCGAGCGAGCACGCTGATGGGGTAGGCGAGGTCGGGGCGGGTGCACATCATAGCGTACATCAGCGACCCAACGAGTTCAGCATAGGGGCGAGTGGAGGAGGAGGGAGAAGTGGGTGGGGCAAGCTGGTGGCCAAAGGGGAGGGGGGTGGCCATGAGACTGGCCTGCGCCATCTCGAACTTCTCCAAGACCTGGCCGATGTAATGGGACTGGGAGAGGGTGATGGTGCGAGCAGGACGGTCGCGAGTGATAGCCATGCCTAGGTAGTGCGTGAGGTCACCCAGGTCCTTGCACTTGAGGCGCTGCTGCAGCTGCTGCTTCATCTGCTCCATGTCAGCCTTGGAGTCAGCGAGCAGGATCATGTCATCCACATACACCAGAATGAAGAAGCGGCGAGGTGAGGAGCGAAGGAAGAGACTGGCGTCAGAATGCGAGGCAGAGAAGCCGAGGGACCCCAGGGTGGCAGACAGCTTCGCGTGCCACTCCCTTGGCGCCTGCTTTAGCCCGTAGACAGGCCGACGCAGCTGCCACACAGTGTTGTCTGGAAAGGCGGCGTGGAACCCGGGGGGCCGCCGGAGGAAGATGCGCTCGTGCAGGTCCCCTTGCAGGAACGCGTTGGAGACGTTCATGGAACAGATCTCCATGCCGTCGCGCGCACCAACGTCGAGGAGGGTGCGGAGGGTGGGCGGCTTGGCAGTGGGGGCGTAGGTGAACCAGTAATCCTCAGCCCAGGTCTGGGTGAAGCCCTTAGCGCAGTAGCGGGCCTTGTAGACCGGATCCTCGCCCGGCAGTTGCTTCACCCGAAAGACCCACTTGCCCTCGACAAGGTTGGCGTCGGCCGGGAGGGGGACATCAACGAAGGAGTCGTTACGAATGAATGCCTCACACTCCAGGAACATTGCCGCGATCCACTTGTCCGCATCAGGGCAGGTGATGGCCTCTTGGAAGGTGGAGGGAGTGAAGATGGTCGGGGTGGAGGTGGCGCCAAGGACGGGGAGGCCAAGGAAGTCAAGGAAGATGGAGGCAAGAAAAGGAGTGTGGTGCCGAATGTTGAGGAACTCCTCATGGGAGTCCTCAAGGAGTTGGATGGAGGCGGGAGGAGGGTGTGAATTAAGAAAACAGGAATGGGGATGACTAAGGGAAAGTTGGGTACAAATACAAACCCTAGAAAACTGTACCCCATATGTGCTACCCCACTATAGCCTACAGTAGCTCTGTCATATAAATCTGACACACCCCCATAGGCAAAGTGGGGGAGAACAAGGGGTCACAAGACCAGTCAAGCAAAGCAAAGCAAGCTCAGGGTGGATCACAAAGTCACCACACATTCCGAGCACAAGTTCAAGGCCACAAGGCCAGTTCACATGCAGGATTACATATATATATAAGGCTAGACAAACAAGAGCACGTGTATATATATATGCAACAGTACAAACAAGGTCAAGGGGTGAGCAAGTGAGGCAAGGTAGGCACAAGGCCCAGCTGAGTACAGAAACGCTGATGATCACAAGGCGCAAGTGCCTTGGTGAAGATATCAGCAGTGTTGGCCTGAGAGGCCACGTACGCAAGTCGCAGCTGACCACGCTGCTGTAGCTCACGAGCAAGGAAGTAGCGGAGAGCAATGTGCTTCGTTCTGTGCTCCAGTCTCTGCTCTCGACACAAGGCCAGCATGGCCTTGTTGTCTACGTACAGCACTGGAGGAGAACGAGGCGGCTCTCCGAGGTCAGTCAGCAGGTAGGTGAGCCAGCGAAGCTCCTGTGCAGCCATGGCCCCAGCGTAGATCTCAGCCTCACAACTGGAGCCGAGAACAGAAGACGAGCGGGTAGCCCGCCACGAAACAGAACCGGAACCGAGGCTGAAGGTGTAACCCTGTGACGACCGCTGCGTAGCCTGGTCGTCAGCCCAAGAAGCGTCTGCGTGCCCAGTGAGGACCACTGGACTCTGCCCTCCAAGCACAAGCCCCATGCCCGACGTACTGCACAAGTAGCGCAACACCCTCTTCGCTGCAGCCATGTGCTCCGGTCTGTGTCTCCCAGGAGCAACATAGCGTGCGAGAATGCTAAGAGGGTATGCAAGGTCAGGTCGTGTGCAGGTCATCAGGTACATGAGGCAGCCAACAAGCTCTGGGTACGGGCCACTCGACTCTACGGACTCATCCGAAGGCAGAGCTGAGAGCGAGTGGCGAGTAGACAGAGGAGTGGCCTGAGGCGAGGAGTACGTGAAGCCGAAGCGCTGAAGGACCTGCTGCACCATGTGTGACTGAGTCAAGGTAATGGTGCGGCGTGCTCTGTCCCGAGTGATCTGCAAACCAAGGTAGCTGCGCAGTTCACCCAGGTCTGTGCACGTGTGTCTCTTCTGCAGCTCGGACTTCACGTGGGCGAGTCCAGCAGTGTCAGCTGTAGCAAAGACCAAGTCGTCGACGTACACGAGGATGTAGAACGGCGGCAAAGAAGTGTCGGTGCGCAGAAACAACGACGGGTCGGCAGTAGAGGGAGCAAACCCAAGAGCCGCAAGTGTAGTCCTCAGTGTGTCGTGCCACTCACGCGGTGCCTGGCGGAGACCGTAGACTGGCCGCCGGAGGCTCCACTGGGTGCCAGGAGGAAAAGACCCAGTGAAGCCAGGTGGGCGACGCAGCCAGATCTCCTCGTGCAGGCTACCCTGCAAGAAAGCAGTGCTGAAGTCAAGAGAGTGAAGCTCGTAGTCGCGGTGAGCAGCTACGTGCAGCAGTACCCGAAGAGTGGTCATCTTCGGGGTGGGAGAGAAGGTCTGAAAGTAGTCAACTCCCTGCCGCT